TACTCCTTGCCCCTCCAGGCCGTGTTCCCTGATTCCCTGTAGTAAAAATTTCTTCCTTTTTTCTATACTCCCAAAAAACCAAACCAAACTCACTGCCATCCAGTAGATTCTGACTTATAGTGACCCCCACTGGGTTTCTGAGGCTGTAATCTTTATGGAAATAGATTGCTCTATCTTCCTTCGGCAGCTTGTGGGTTTGAACTGCTGACCTTCTGGTTAGCAGCCAAATGCCTTATCCACCACACCACCAGAGCTCCGTTTTTTCCCATACTAATACCCTAAAAACCTTTAAACTGATCAATAGGGCTTCAGCACATGCCAACCCCAAGACCCCTCCGTGCTTGCCATACACAAGCCCCCTCTTACAATTCCTGCTTGTTGTTGCCTTGTTCCTGGGTGCAATCCCCCTGTGGGGCCCCATGTCAGTGGCCCTGCATTGAAGCATGCTCTGTTTTTCCTCTGGGACTTGTGAGCACTAAATACTGTTGATTTTCTGGCTTTCTGCATACGTCTCACTTCCTCAGGCCACACCTGACACATCATCCAAGACCTCTCTGAGGGTCTCATCTGGAAGTTTGGGTCAAGCTTAATATACACTGCCAGCATCTGCCCTTTCCCAGGCGGTAGGCTGGGAGCAAGCTTCTCTTCCCAGCATCTGTGATCAAGAGGACTTAATGTTAGTGCTTCCTCTCCACACCCTTATTCCAAGCAGAGAGAGAGAAAAAGAGAAATGATGGAGAAGAGAAGAAAGGATGGGGATAAGTGTCCACACTCCACACTGCAGAGAACCACAGGTGGGGCTGGGGTGTGCAGTGAGCTTGGACTCTGTGAAGCCCATGAGCAGACACTGCCCTTTGCACCAGGCAGAAGATGGGCTCACGGCCATTTACAATTCCAGCATGATCATTTACTAGCTGTGCAGCCTTGGACAAAGGACTAACCTCTCAGAGCTTCTCATTTGTAAAATGGTGCCACTGTGCTCTAACCACTGGACCTGGTAAAGATTGAGTGAGATGGGGTATGAATCAATTTCACTTAATCTGCAGACGTGAGGTGGCTGTTTCACTTGTCTTTGGACATTGGTCCCTTCATCTCAGTACTCTGAGGGTGAGAAAATTTTGGCCCCGGGCATGGTGACCATTGGAACCAAGACCCAATGTGCCTGGGTTAGTGGAATAAGCACATCGTCTCCTGAGAGTCACTTGGACAATGAGAAAGGACCCTAAATTCTTGGAGGTGGACCCTTTGCTGTTGGTCATCAGTTTCCAGTGCATGCTCTCTGGCCTCTGCTGGTTTCAGAGGCCTTGGCTGACTTGATAACAAGACAAAGGTTCCAGCAGTGTAGGGGTCACCACCAAAAGCTGGCACTGAGACCACACTGGGCCAGGTGGCTTTGGGAGGCTGTGGCCCCAGGAGACCCCAGTGAAAAGACTCAACCAGAGGCTAGGAGAAGTGGAGGCAGCGGGAAACTTCCTGAGACCCAGACAGGCAGTGAAGGGTCATGGCCCCTTCAGAGTCCACGAGACGAGGCCTCCACGGAGGAGCAGAGGGAGGGGGTCTGTCAGAGAGAGGTAGGATGGGGAGGAGTCCCTCCATTTCTCATGAGACCCAAGAGTAGTGATGGGGCTGACAAGCCTGGATGTGGGTGGAAAAGTCTTGGACAAAGGCCCAAGGGGCCAAGCCTCCTGGAAAACCAACACCTCACAAACCAGGGGCCGTTTCTCTCTAGGGGGTAGGGAGCCAGCTCTGTCCCTAGAGGTCGGAAGGAATTTTAATCCGATTTCCCATCTGATATAGAAGCTCCTCTTAACACACCCCAGACAAGCATTTGTTCAGCTTCCACTTGAACACCTCTGGTGATGGGGAGCTCCCTCCCTCCCAAGCACCTATGCCTATTAGAAAGCTCCCTCTTATTGAGCTCTAATCACTCTTTCTGTAAGTTGCACCTCCAGCTCTGCCTACCCTTCGTCATGTAGAAGAAGTGCTCTCCCCTTTCCCTGCTATAGCCCTTCTTTCCCCAGGGCAAACCTCCTGGCTTGCTCCTCTGCCAGCAGGATCACACTGGTCTTTTCAGCAGGATCACACTGTCTTTTCTGCAAACTCAGTGCAGCCAGGTTCGAATTACTCTCCTCCTAATCTGAACCTAATTGACACATTCATGGGACCAGACTGTCTACTATCACGACAGCCCAGCTCTAGGCTGAGGCCTCTCCATCCTCAGGACAACAGCCCCATGGGCTCCTTTCTGGATGAACTAGGCTTCTAGTTCACAGAAGAGGGCAGATGCCCATCCTGGTCCAGATGCCCAGTCACGGGAATCGCCTCAACTCCTGGAGACTTCTCCTGGCTCTGTTGCCCCTTCACAGCTTGAAAGAGTGAACCTGGCTGCTAATGGGAAAACCGACCCTTTGCTGCACCAGAAGGCAGTAAATTTTGTGAGTCTGCGTGAGTGGATGGAGGCAACCTTGGGGGCTATAATTTCCACTTCCTGACACAATACAAACTTCTCAGTTTATGCAGAACTAATTAAAGATGTCTCAGGTCTCACCAAGCTCCCATAAAACAACGTGGCGATGGCAGCCGCCTGATGACAGCGTGCGAGGAATGTGCTTCTCTGGATGACTGTTTCCCTTCCAAGATTCCTTCCCCCTCCTTGACTTCCTGGGGACTTTCTTCCTCTTGTCTTTTCTTGATCTCCCCCCAAACCAGGATAGGGAGGGCAGGATAGGCTCCTGACAGCAGGTGCTACCTTGGGAAGGGCTCAGACTCTGGGGCTGGCCAGACCTGGACCTGAACTCCTGCTCTGCCCCTTAGGAGCCATGAGACTTTGGCCAAGCCTCAGCTTCCTCATTTGTTAAATAGAATACTACTATTAGCCTCATAGGGTGGTTTTAGGATTACAAATAATGCAGGCCATGTGGAAGGACAGTGCCCGGCACATAGGTGTTCAATGAGTGGTGGCTATTATTCAAATTATTATTACATTGCTGTAGTTATTGTGAAGGAGCCCTGGTGGCCCAGTGGTTAAAGTGATTGGCTGTTAACCAAAAGGTCGGCAGTTGGAACCCACTAGCCAGTCCATGGGAAAACGATTTGGCAGTCTGCTTCTCTAAAAGGTCACAGCCTTGGAAACCCTGTGGGGCTCCCATAGGGTTGCTATGAGTCTCTATGAGCTAGAACTGACTTGATGGCAATAGGTATTATTATTATTTATTTATTTTTAATAGGTATTATTATTATTTTATATGTAATTATTACAGAGTCCCTGGGTAGTGCTAACCAAAAAGTTGGAGGTTTGAGTCTACTCAGAGGCACCTCAGAAGAACTTGGAAATCCATTTTCAAAAAATTAGCCATTGAAAATCCTAGGGTCTAAGACCAGAAGAACTGACACAACTGTTCCGACCAGGGACACAATACATGGTCCAAGATTGAATGGGAGAAAAATGTAGAACAAATCTCAAATTCCTAAAAAAGGACCAGACTTACTGGACTGGTAGAGACTACGGGATTCCTCAAAGACTATTGCCCTGAGATACCCTTTACACTTGGAACTTAATCACTCCCAGAGGTCAACTTCTAGCCAAATAGACTGGCTCATAACATAAGCAATTTCACATGTGAGTGCTGCACTCCTTTAAATATATAATCTTCTCTATGAGACCAAACAGTCAACACTTACCCTAAAGTAAAGATGAGAAGGTAAGAGGGGGCAGGGAAGCTAGATTAATGGAAACAGAACCACTGGAGTAGAAATAACGAGAATGCTGACACACTGAAAATGTAACTAATGTTGCTAAAAGATATGTTTAGAAATTTTTAAATGGGAATTAATTTACTGTGTAAACTTCCACCCAAAATACAATAAAATAATTTGAACCCCCTCCCAAAACAAAACAAAACAAAACACCGGGGCTTGAGGTACCCTTGGTTCGTCTGTGGACAGAAAGACTTTAAAAAATAATTAATAAAAAAACTCTCAATGGAGCACAGTTCTACTCTGATAGCAACTAGTACTGGTATAGTTATTGCAATGACCAACTCTGGGCCTTTGCACAAATTACTTCTCTGTCTGAGACACTACTTTCCTTCAATTTTGCTGATTGAAAGCCAACTTAGATTAAAAAATAGCCATAGTTTTTGTTTTGCTACTCCTTGTTCACACCAACTCATATGACTTGGTCAATAGAACAAAAGAAAATGAATACAAGTGGACACTAGAAAAGTGCTTGTGCCCTGGGGCCTACCATGCTGTAAGGAAGTCTGTCTAGCCTCCTGGGGGATAAGAGGCTACAGGGAGGAGAATGAAGATGCCCCAGCTCATAGCAAGCACCAACCCCCAGATGCATGCGTGAGGCCATCTTATGGCCCTTTCAACCTTTCCATGGGTCTTAAAACGCAACTGCATGAGTGAGCTCAGGTGAGACCAGCAAAGCCCCCCAAACTGCCAATCCACAGGACCATGAGAAAAGTTGCTGTTTTAAGCCAATAAGTTTGGGGTGATTTGTCACACAGCAATGGATCACTGATACTCCTACCCATTCTCCAGAGCTGAGCTCATAGGCTCACAGGCTTCTTCCAGAAGATTTTCCAAACTCCCAACCAGGAATTAACCTCTCTGTTTCCTGAATTCACACAGCACTTTGCTTTGGTAGCATTTAGCACAGTCTGCCTTCACCTGGGTAACTTGTGCAGGGATCCCGGCTGGGTCCCCTCTATATTTCCACCATGTTTAGCATGGAGCTTAGCCCAGGGTGGGCCAGACAGTGCAGACGTGGATCTGAGGCCCAGCTATGCTACTGATTTGTCCAAGACCCTTGCCCCCTCTGAGCTTCCTCATCCTCAAAATGAAGATACTGACCCAAGGTGGGCCAAGCATGAGAGGGCCATACTGGGTAGTGTGTGTGCAAAAATGCATTGTGCATCACCAAGTCCTGACCCTCTGAAGTCTTGCATGGGTTACCATTAGGAGCAGCTGGATCCTCTCCATCTCCTTCTTACCTTCCGGCCATGATAGCCTTGGATCCCAGGGTCTCCCTAGGGGGACAAAGAGAAGCCCATTACAGGGGTATTCCCAATGCCACTTTTACTTGTACTGTTCTCTTCACCCTCAATGTATCCTTCATCCTCCCCAAAACACCCCTCCTGGTCCTTCAGCATCCACTTCCAGCCTTCCCCAGCATGGAAGCTCTTGAATCCTCTGAGGCCAACAGAAACTGGTCTACTTCTCAAAATAAACCCTCACTTTTCAGAGGCAGAGGGATGGAAGAGATGGTCAACTTGGTAGGGGCCTAGGAGACCTGCAGGGATTCTCTCTGACCTCAGACAAGTCTCTTTTCCCCAGGGCTCCATGTGTACATTTATAAAATGGTTGGGTAGGCTTGGTCCTTTGCACCTTCTCTTCCTCGGAGGCCCAGAGTCCCCAACTTCAAAGAGAGAGCCTGTGTGACAACTTGGGCACCAAGTGAGGTTTCACAAGAAATATGATGACCCTGAAAGAACTTTCCAGTTCTGACATCTTGTTGTTGTTGTTATGTGCTGTCGAGTCAGCCCTGACTCATAGCGACTCCTCCTTGGGTTGCCAAGAAGTATCACTGCGGAAGTAGATTGGCCAACCTTCCTTCCGAGGAGTGGCTGGTGGGTTTGAACCACCAGCCTTCTGGTTAGCAGTCAAGTGCCTTAGGCACTATGCTACCAGAGCTCCTAGGAAATACTATTTTATGAGGATATTTTTTACAGTGCTTTGAGTTTCCATCTGGATGGCTTCTTTCATACTAGCCATAGCTCTGGCTCAGCTGGAGCACACATTAAGTGCTGTCTTTATGGGACCAAATCAGTTCCTAGGAGGTGAGTGATGCTTTGGAAGCAAGCTGAACTTGACTCACCTCTGAGCTGAGACCCACCATTAGCTCCTTATTCAGTAGCTCTCAGTGCTGCCTCCCACCTCCTTCCTGCAGGGAACTTTCTCACTATTCAATGTGACACCCACAAGTGCCCTTACCTTTGGTCCAGGAGGCCCAGGTAAGCCCTGTGGAAGCAAGAATAAGGTGACAGGAGATGTTTGCACTTGTAAATGGATGAGGTTAGTCATGTTTACAGAGTCTCAGAGTGGCACAAATGGTTAAATGCTTGACTATGAGCCAAAAGGTTGGTGGTTCAAACCCACCCAGAGGCAACTGGTAATCTGCTTCCTAAAGGTCACAGTCTTGAAAAACTTATGAGCAGGTCTACTCTGCATACACAGGGTCACCATGTATCAAAACTGACTTGATGGCAACTAACAATAGTCATATTTACAGTGGAGGCTGGAAGAAGAGTAGCCCCAGATAGCTAATGGATTGGAGAGAATGGACATGCCAGAGAACAGATCTAGAGGATCCTGAAAGGGTATCTGAAACCTGCTGAAGGCCCATGGGGACAACAGGCTGATGTCCTCTTGAGACACACGGAGCCATTGGTGTCTGCTAGGTTTGCCCACTGGAAAATAGGTCAGCAGCACCATGGTAAATTGACAGTGTGGTTTGGTTCAGAGCCCCACCCACACACCTCCTACAAGGGACCGCTCCCGAGAAAACTGATCTTTTCTGGCAGAGCCCTGGTGTTGCCTTTAGCCCTGGCCGCCTCCAGTAAAGCCCTCAGTCTCTTCCGGCTTGGGCCCTTCTGCCCAGGGTGCGGTAATGGCGGCAGCCAGCCATGCGGAGGTTGTGCGGGCTGTGGCCCTGCCTGTAGGACCTCCAGGGAGAGAAGAGAGAGGGCGGGAACCACCACAGGCTTGGGCTGTACAGCTGGGCAGCAGCGTGGGCTGGAGCAACCAAGGTGCCCCAGTCTGCTGTGCTGCCACCGGTTTAAAAAACATGCTTTCACAGGGCATTCTTAGCACAGTGAAACTACCCTGTATGATACTATGTGGACACATGACATGAAGCATTTGTCAAAATCCATAGGACTGCACAACACAGAGCAACCCTTATAGTGAACTTCAGTTAATCATCGTGTATCAATATTGGTTCTTCGTCAATTGTAACAAATGTTCCACAGAATTCAAGATGTTAGTAGAAGAAAAAGCGTGTGGAGGGGTGTGTAAATGAAAACTCCATACTTCTGTCACAATTTTTCTGTAAACCTAACGCTGTTCTAAAAAAGCCTTTAAAATTTTTTAAAACACAACATATGTTCTTGTTTTCTTTTATTTATAAACAACTTAAGAAAGAAAACCATCTATATTTGGTTCAGCGAGTGGGATTCAACCTATTTGGAGGAGAGTGGTTAGCAAAGAAGTGGATTTTGAACACTTCTTGGTTTTCTCAGCTTGGTCTGGTTCTTTTCCCTAAATTTCTCTTCCTTTCTGGTTTTCTATTTCCCCATCTAGAAACCCATGGAAGTGAGCCTAATTCTCCCCCCGTGAAGTCCTGGGGAAAAATCATGGGGATATTTAAAATCTGTGGTGGGTTCAAGCTGGGCAGAGAGCAGGCTCCCAGAAGGCTAGGTTTACACACATTGCAAAGCTGGGTCCCTGGTGGGATGGAGCATTCCCTTGCTTAGAAGGACCCCCGCACTGAACCTCAGGATCAGCAGCTGAGGCTGCTGAGGGGCCCAGGTATGAAGCCAAATGATCTCAAACAGGGCCATGTGCAACGAAGACTCTTTGGCAGGGATTTCCCTGACAGAGCAACTACACCTCTGGGAAGCTACTGCAACAAATCCACCAGAGATGTGCACAAACATCTATGTTCAAGGATATGCACCACAGATAGGGACTCACTAAATACATTATAAACAGGCCGAACAGGCCTGAGCTCCCTGTCATGGAAGATTCTTTCCTGACAGAGGGAGGGGCTCGCTTTATGATGTTCAGTGATAAACTTCACAGGATGCAAAACTTATATTTTATTCAGAACATTAACCAGTTGCTGTTGAGTCAATTCTGACCCAAGGCAAGCCCATATGTGCCAGAGCAGACCTGGTTTTTTTGGAGGAGATCACCAGGGCTTTCTTCCAAGGTACCTCTGGGTAGACTTGAACCACCAACTTTCGTTTAGTAGCTGAATGCATTAACTATTTGCACTACCCAGGGAGTCCATTCAGAATATTACCAACCTGGAAAATGTTTATGTGCAGATGCATCTAAGGAGAAAAATGGACAGAAGCTCCAGAGTGTTAACCACTGTTCACTCTGGATGTGGAAAAATAGGTAATTTTTACATTTTTTCTTTGTGGTACCAAGTTTTTTTTTTTTTTCCCCCAACAATGAATGTATAATACTTTTGCAATAAGAAAGAAAAACAGATATGTTTGTTTTTCTAAATATCATGTGGGAAAAATACTATTAAAAAGCAAACAGACTTTGCCCTTAACCCTTGACTCTCCAGTAACAACATAAAGTTAGCTTCATCTCTGTGTAGAAGAAATAGTTTTTCCAAAGAAGTCTGGGTACCTGCTGAATTATTCTTTTACTCTGATGCTTTGCTGTACTAAATTGGGTTGAGAAGAATAGAGTCTTTTCAAAATCATAAACAAATAAAATAAAAGGGACTAGGTTTGCTGGGAGCTCTGGTAGCATAGTGGCTAAGGCACTTGACTGCTAACCAGAAGGCTGGCGGTTCAAACCCACCAGCCATTCCTCGGAAGGAAGGTTGGGCAATCCTACTTCCGTAGTGATACTGCCTCGGAAACCCAAGGAGGGGTCGCTATGAGTCAGGGCTGACTCGACGGCACATAACAACAACAACAGGTTTGCTAGTCTGATAGAGCCTGGTGGAGCCCCTGAGACTATGGCCCCTAGCTGCCCTTCTGGTCTGGAACTGAACCCACTCCTGTGGCTTCCAGCCAAACAAAAGACAGGCATGTGAGCTGAACATTTACGCTAGGTAGATACACTCCTTGGAGAGATCAATCATGGGAGAATAGAAGGGCTGTGTATGCACAGGAAGACAGCTTGTGGGGCAGGAGTGCATGGGAGGGAAGGACACAAGGAGGAGGTGGCTATGGGGAGGAAGTGGGAAGAGAGCGATTGCATTGTGGGAGATTGCAGTCAATGTCATGAGACAAAGTGAATTGTTGTATGGAAGGCAAATTTGCTCTGTAAACTTTCAACCAAATCACAATGAAATTACAAAAAGAAAGAAAAAGAATAGGGTCTTAGCCAGAGCTTGGAAATAGGTGATTTGGGTGGCCACTGGGTCTGACCTATTGCCAGAATGTGTTCTCCCTTGAGGGGGTACACCTGGTTGGTCTCACTGAGGTCCTTTCCCTAGGTTCAATGCAAGGCCCCTCCAGGCTGGGCAACAGCTCTGGTTGACCACGCATCTTGCTTAGCTCAAATGGTGGACCAAAAAAAAAAAAAAAAAAAATGCATTGTCACCAAGTCAATTCCAACTCATAGCAACCCCCACTGAGTTTCCAAGGCTGTAAATCTTTATGGAAGTAGCTTACTTCATTTTCTACCCATAGAGCAGCTGGTGGGTTTGAATTGCTGACCTTCTGGTTAGCAGCCAAATGTCTTACCCACTATGCTATCAGAGCTCCTGGAATGGTGGACAGTGATGTGAAAACATGCATACACTAGGTAAGGTGTGTTTGTTAGGGATGCCAGGTGCTCAGATGCCTCCTTGCCTACCTCCTTCAGCGCCTACTGTACCTGACTTGGGTTTTCCTAAGCCCAGGAGTCAGGGAACTGACATCAAAAGTGGCCCTGGGAACTTTCTTTCCAATCTCCTCTCCACCAAAGCTGGGAAAGGGGCAGCCTGTTAGTGATCTTTCCTGATAGGTAGGCAAGGACTGATGTTGAGGACATGTCAATAACAGGCATGGTTTCAAAGCCAGTGCTCAACAGGTGAGTTTTACAGGGATGGGCAGATCCTTACATGGGCCACTAGGTCCAGTGGTCTTGGTCAGGTGTTTCTGCCATTTGGCGGAAACCGAGGCTCCTATTGATTATGCATGTTTTGGTTGCGTCCAGAGATTTCTTGGGCTAAATCTTAAAGGATGGGAGGCAGTAGGTGAAAGAAAGGGATACTTACGGGTGGCCCCATGGGCCCTGGCAGTCCTGGGTGCCCCAGAGGTCCAGTTGGTCCAGGGGGGCCTGGTGGCCCTGGAGGGCCTTGGATACCGGCCTGGCCCTGTTCACCCTGAGGTTCATGAAGACAAGAGTTAGAGAGAGGATGCCCAGAGCCATGGACCAGTTCCCGCCCAATGCCATGCACCCAGTGAAGGCCTAGCCATGGGCTCTGGTGATTGTGGGGATGAGTGGGGTGACGTGATGGTGGTGACTGCTGGATGGTGGTGACTACATGCAGGGGCTGGTGGCAGTGAGAGGAGAGCCAAGGCGTTAGGTCCCCAAGAGGTGGGGCTTCCAGAGAGGACTTCCTGCACAGAGAGGCTGGTACCAGGGCCAAGAGCCTGGCTGTGGATGGCAGAGGTAGAGGGTGAGTGAGAGATGATCATTGGTCCAACCACAGGCCTGGTACCAGCCTGGTCAAGTAGCCAATGTCCAGCCCAAGTCATCTGAGCCTGGGCTTTCCTTTGCCACCTCTGTGTGGCAGTCACATCATCCTTCTAAACGCTGGCCTCTAAGCCATAGCATGGGAACAACAGCCCCTGGTTTTCTGTCTCAGCTATTTGCTGTCTTTGGTTATCTTGCCAGAGGCTTAAACAAAATCCTTAGGTCAGAGGTCACAGAATTTCTTTGGCTCACTAAACAGTTGGGCAAGAGATTTCATGTAAACATTTGGATTGGTGGCTTCCAATGAAGAAGTAGGGTTCCTGGTACCTCTGGGCCTACATCCCTGGGGGCCATAATCAGCTGGATGTGAGTTGTTCCCGTCAGACAGGGCATGAGTTCTCCAGCAGCCTCATTCCCCACCCTTCCCATCCTTTCTTACATGAAGTTTGCTCTGTCCCTTATGTGATGTGCCTGGTCTCGGACAACAGTTGAGTCTGCAACCCTTGGATTGGTTGAAGGTGTTTTGAAACTGTTTGCTGCCTGTATGAAGTTGCTGTTATTATTCTCTTCCCTTACCCTGACTCCTTAACTAGCTGCTCAGAGCACAGCTTCTGTCCCCAGGCCTGTGCCCAGGGTGGACTGGAGCTCAGTGAGGTAGGGGCAGCATTGTGTTCCTTTAGGAAGAAGAGAAAGCCTGGCCCATACCTCAGGTACCGGGGCTGGGGCAAGCTAGAGTCTTTCTAGGTCTTTTTAGCAGTTGCTGTCAAGTCGATTGACTCATGGTGACCCTGTGTGTGTCCAAGCAGATTTGTGCTCCATAGGGTTTTCAGTGGGTGATTTGTTCAAAGTAGATCACCAGGATTTTCTTCTAAGGCACTCTGGGTGGATTTGAACCTCCAACCTTTTGGTGTGCAGCCAAACACGTGAACTGTTTGCTGCACCTAGAAATGTCTTTCCAGATCTAGGCGGATGAAAACCCACTTTGACAATTCTATTAATTGTCATTATGCTATTTTATAAATGACCTCTCCAGAGATGACCTGGGCTTAGCTCTAGTGGGAAGGGGCCCATTCCTACAGATGGGTCAAAGCAGGACAACCTGGCAGGTGAGAGAACTCTAGGCTGGGATGCACGGGGGAGACAGGGTCCTGGAGTTCCAGCCTACCCTTCTCAGTGTGATCTCAGCCAGCAACCATAATACTGGAGGTCTCTTGTTTCCCATGTGAAAAAGGGAGCAGATGGGAGCTCTGTAGAGGGACATGGTAGGACAAATAGGAGTGCAACCTTGGGATAGATGATTGAGATATATGATTTTAGTAACACTTGCTTGTACCACCTCTTGACTGGAATGTCCTAGGGTGATGGTTCCCAGCAGTGACACTTGGGGGCCTGGACCTCATCCTGCCACACCCTCTGCAAAGCCACATTAAGGCTCAGTCTGTCCACAATGGAGGAGGTGGATGCAGAAATTGCTTTGGTGGGTTCCCTACCTCCAGCTCCACCCCACCCCCCAACCTCTAGACACCTAGCTTCATGTTGGCTGTTGATAAGTTCCAGGAACCGCTCTGATGGCATCTCTCCTGAACCAGAGAAGCTTAATGAAAACTCAGACATCAGGAGGTGACCAGCATAGCCCACTCAGAATAAGTCTGATGGAGCCCAGTGAGTTCTCTGAGCATTGGTATACTGCTTTACACTCTTCACAGCATTCCTACATTTTTGGAAAGGGGTAATATACAGGGAGGAATCCTTGGTGGTACAAACAGTTGAGTGCTTGATTATTAGCCAAAAGGTTGGTGGTTTAAATCCAGCCAGAAGCACCCTCGAAGACAGGCCTGACAATCTGCTTCCAAAAGGTCACAGCCTTGAAAACCCTAAGGAAGATGGTTCTGCTCTGAAGCAGATGGACTCGCCATGAGTGGGAGACCACCGGACAGCAACTAACCCCAATTCACAGGGCAGGGAAGGTTTGGTCTCAAACCCCTATGGCCCATTCTGCCCTTTGAAATTCTAGAAGCCTTACAACCTCTCAAGTTCTATTTCACAGAAGAGATAATTGAGTCTTAGAGAAGTTAAGCCCCATGACCAAGGTCAAAGGGAGAATTCAGGGTGGAGCGAGGGCCCCAACTGAGAACTGTAGATTCAATTCCTACTCCTTCTAAATAAGCCCCCAGCAAAAAGTGCTCACAGTCCAACTTTCTGCACTTTGGAATTGACCCCCAACACCATCTGCTAAGTACATCAAATCCTATATACAGTTTCCTCTTCCAACTAATGTTAGACCCAATGTTTAAGCATCTTGCAGAGCCTGTAAAATTAATATTGGTTTATTGATAGGAAATAAGACAAGCCTTTTTTATGGCCTAAGATGACTGACAACACAAAAACCTAATTCTCCAGGCAGACTCTGCAATAGGCTGGTTGGGGGCCCTATTCTTGTCTCTCCATTTTGGAAAACAGGTCCAGGCAGCACAGGTTGTTCTGGTTCTCCCACCCCTTGCTCTTGGGATGGGAGGCAGCAAAATGCAGTGGCCTGGATGGAATCCTGGACCTCTCTCAATTTCTTCTGTAAAGTGGTGACAGGAGTCCCCAGGTAGCCTAAATGGTTAAGTGCTGGGCTGAAAGGTTGGTGATTTGGACCCACCACCCACACCTCAGGCCTGGTGATGTGTTTCTCAAAGATCACAGCCATTAAAACCCCATAGAGGACAGTTCTACTCTGCACACATGGGGTCGCCATGAGTCAAAATCGACTCCATAGCAATGGGTTTGGTTTTCTTTTTCTTTTTTGAAAGTAGGAATGATGATGGCGGCACCTTCACCACCAGGTGGCTGGTGTAAGGATTACATGAGATAAACTATATAGGATTCTTGTAACATAGCTTGGAACCCAGCAAGGGCAGCTAATACAACTAAAGCCATAGGCAGCTGTTGTGGTCCAAGTGAATGGCCACACAGAGCAGGTTCTCAGCACTCCTGGAATTGGGTCTGACCTGGGCAGGGCTGGGTGGCAGTGAGGCAGGCCTGCTCTAGTAAGAGCTCAGAGCACCTGGAAGCTCTCGAGGATTTGGCCACTGGAACAGGACGTGCAGCCCTTAGGCTCAGGTAACATGCACATCACGTGTTCCCTTCTGTATTTCAGCTGTTCACTGGAGTGGTTTCTCAGCTGTGTTCAGTCAGATGCCTGAACACCCAGACCCCTGGGCTTTCGACTCCTCCTGAGTCAGGTGGACAGTGACTTTTAGGCCCTGCTGCCAGGCTATCATCTCAGAACTCCATCACTCTCTGCACCCCTGTCATCCTGGAGGTTCTCCCTGGGCCATGGACGAAGGTTAGGGGCAGCTGGGAATTGAGCCTGGATCCCTGGGTCTGAGATCTCTTGGACAGCAGGGGTGAGACTGCTTGCTCTTCATGATCTTGTCCTCCCAGCCTCTTTGGCTGGAAGAAGGAAGGAGTTCTTTCATAGGATGATTACACAAGCTGGTGGTGGACCACATTCCCTCTGTAAATTCCCTTGCTCCTCAAAATCAAGTTACAAGGGATCAGATGCTAAGCTTCTTCAAAGTAGGGGCCAATTCCACACTTCTTAGTGCAAAGGGTGCTGATTCAACCAAGAGGGCCCTGGATGTGGGTCAGGAATCCTGTCTGCCAGTTCCAATTCCACCTTCTGGTATTTGTGTGATGTTGGGCAAACCAACTCTCTTCTCTGAGCCTCGATTTCCTAGTTTCCTAAATATGCATAACAGCAATACCCAAAACCAAACTCACTACTGTTGAGTCGGACCCGACTCATAGCGACCCCTCTTTGGGTTTCCAAGGCGGTAACACTATGGAAGTAGATTGCCCAACCTTCCTTCCAAGGATTGGCTGGTAGTTCTTAAACTGTTCCAGACACTATTGTAAGTATTTTATATACACAGCAACAATCTTACGCAGTACTACAGCAACCCTATGTAGGTACTCTGTCCTCATTTTACAAATGAGGAAGGCAAGGCACAGTGAGCTTAAGTAACTTGCCCCAAATCACATACAGAGTCAGAGACAGAGAAGCTGAGTGCAAATCCCTGTTCTGTAGTTGACTGGCGGTGTGACCTTGGGCAGCTCACTTACCCTCTCTGGGCCTTGATTTCCTCATCTGTAAAATAAGGCTGGTCATGCCTAATTCATAGAACTCCTAAGAGGATTAAATAATAATAAAAAACAAACCTCTGCTATCGAGTCAATTCCAACTCATAGCGATTCTATAGGACAGAGTAGAATTGTCCCATAGGGTGTTCAAGGCAATAAATCTTTACGGAAGCAGACTGCTTTGTCTTTTTCCAAAGGAGAGTTTGAACTGGTGGGTTCGAACCGCCAACCTTTGGGTTAGCAACCAAATGCTTTAACCACTGTGTCACCATAATAATATAAGAAGGCATGTAAAATGTGTAACACAGCTCCTGACAATAAATGTTGGTGGCTGTTATGAGTAGTGATGGTCATGACGGTAGCTGTGGATCTCCAGGGGCCTGGGTCTTGGGCTGTGTGGAATTTCCATGTCTGATATTTCGGGGTCCATTTTGTCTAATTTAATGTCACTGAACCAGAGTGAAGTTCTGGCTTCATCCACAACCCTAGCTGGTTTGCCAAACCCCTTGGGGAAGCCACATCACAGCTGGGAAATCGAAGGTATCTACCTGGAAGGTCCGCCTTTTTATGACTGGGGGCGGAGCCAGCCGCACTGAATTGAGGAGAGGCAGCAGCTGAGGAGAAAGATGAATTGGAAGGCCAGAAGGCAGAGGCCAAAGATCGCAGGTGGTCAGAAGGATGCCAAAAGTCGCCAGGAAGGTAGTAGGGTAGCCAAGAGGGATGGGAGCAGAGGATGAGAGAAGAGAGGTTAGTGAGCATGAACCGAGGAGGGGAGGCATGGAGGGGCACTCTCAAGGGGTGGGGACATGCTGTTGAGCTTGCCCTTGGATGGCACAGCTAGCCCCTGGAAGGAGAGCAGTGGCCCCTCGGCCTATACCCTCCAGACCGGAACCCAGGTGTCTGCCAGCAGCCCCATCTACTGGGAGAGTGGCCCTCCTGGGCCGGGCCTGCCCTCCTCGACCATGCTGGGCCCAAGAGCCCCCCTGACCCACGACGGCCCAACATTGCATTACCGGCCCCACCGGGTTGGGGAGCTGCGGCTGTTGGGCTGAGGTTGGCGGATGCAGGGGCTTGGCTAGGGAGCCACAGGGTCAGCTAAATTAGCACTTGAAGCCAGGCTGGTGTGTGGCGACCTCTGGTTCTTTTCTTTTTGGGTTGAACAAGAAGGGCTGGTGTTAGCAAATCTGGGAAGGCTGGCCAAGGGCCATGCCAGGCCTGGCTCCTGGGGGCCGAGCCTTCGAGGGTGTGGTCACTGTGGGCACAAGCTAAGTGCTACTCAGGTCTCTTGCCCTGGGGCTGGAAGGCTTGGAAAGCAGAGGCTGAGCAAAGATGGTTCCAAATGTTCAACCGCTTATTTTGGGGAGTGGGGAGGAGGGAGGCCACTTGCAATCACATTATCTAATGTGATTTTCATTTCTGGAAACTCTTGCTATTTCCCATCCTTCTACCCTTTGAAACTGAGCGACCTGTGGCTTTAGGAAGCAGTTAGAACCCAAGTGAAAACAGTTTGCATGTAATCAACCACTTGCTTTTGAAAGAATACACACAGTGATAGCCTTTCCAGGTCAGCTGCCCTGGAAGGCAGCTTCTGTACACAGGGTCCTAGGGGACTGCTTCCCCCCCTACCCCAACCCCTGCCAGGGCCGGAGATGTGCAATGCTGGGCTTCGTGTCCAGAGGGCCTCTCAGCAGAGAGGGGCCCCAGAGCCCATCCAGAGCCTACAAACCTTCAGGGTAATTATCTGGTTGGAGCGCAGAGCTGCTAGAGAGCTGCTTAGGTGCTCCTGGTTTGGGGAGGGCACGGTGGGGCAGAGACACGGCAACGGGGGAGAGTGAGTGCTCACAGGCACAGCTCTCCTGCTCCCAACCCAGGGGGAGCCATCCCACCCACCCGCTCCCAGCCCTCTCCCACCCTACGCCAGGGGTGTGGCTGGGTGGATTCTTGGTATCTTACGGGCCTGGAGACAGCTGCCATAGTCATGCTCCCAGACCCTTGGGAGAACCCAAAGACCACCTTCCCTAGACTCTCCCTGCTTTTCTACCCGCTTCTAAACAAGGGGCTCAGGCTGTCCTTGTCCCACCAATCAGGTGGTATCACACAATCACTCTCACCCCCACTGGACTTATTCACCAGATTGCCCAGGGAGCTTCTGGAGCCTTCTACTGCTGTGCAGTTCCACTTCTCCCTGCCCCCCTTGCGTTGGGCTGAGGGGCTGACATAAGCCTTCAGGTTGGATGACACACAGTCAAAGTGTCTGTAGTTGTGTTGTTTTTTGTATCAGGGATGTTGCCTTTCTTTTGGGCGGTATAACAATCCTGTGAGTCCTTCATTCCAAATAAACACAGCTGACCCTCTATTATTACAGCAGGATCAGACTGGCCGGAACACCAGGGCTCCTGTGTCCCTGGAGTACATGTCACTAACATGCTGGTTTGTCTGTGCTGCTGCTGGTCCATGCTCCCCCTGCCCAGGCCCACTGAGGCCTCTCCTTGGCCTAGGAACCCAAGGGTCAGCCTCTGGCAGGCTATCCAGTCTCCTGAGTAGCTGGCAAGAGGCTGGACCCTGCTAGCCAGGCTCTCCTGGTGGCCTTCCTGGGTCAGGCTGACTCTGAATGTGGTTTGTGACCACTCTTGTGGGAACCCCACTGTGGCCGTGTTACTGGGCACAAATGAGGCCCAGGACAGAGGGATGAACACCTGGAGATGCCCATCCTCTCTACCCTGACTGCCCAGGCCTAAGGCTGCAAAACAAGGGGCATTTCTGCTCCCAGCTCCTGGAGACCCCTGCCTAAGAAGGCGTGCACACCTTGCCTGCCCCTGCCCCAAGAATGGCTCCTCGTTGGTGCACAAATTTCAAGATTCCTAATTGGATGATGGCAGTCTTTTGGGCTCTGTATGCTGTGGTGGAAGAAGGAAAAGGAAGGGACAGGTGGGGGTGGAGGGGTGAGAGACCAGATCTGCTCTGAAGTCCCCCCCCACACACACACACCACACATACCTGGAGAAGGACACCTCTATTCTTAAAGGAACAAAGCACAGGCTTTATCACTAGACTTGAATATATACTGTCAGCCCTACTCAAGGTTTGGGCCATCTGAAGCAATGACTAACACCAAAGTCCCTCCTATTTTGGCAGAGCAGGCAGCCAGAAACGGATAGACAGTTGCTGACAGATGCCAGGTGGGTAGGAGGTCAGACAAAGACTCGCCCAAGCCACCCGGCCACAAAGATGGGGGGTGCAAGGAGACCTGCAGCCAGGCATAAGCCATCAGACACATGAGTTCAAGAGACTGACCAGGCTGCCCCAGTTGGACACAGAGGCAGATGTACAAAGACTCACACAGGCAGGGGAATGCAAACATTGAGGTTGGTGGTACACAGCACACACACTGACCCACAAGGTACACTCCTGGGGAGATTCCCAGCTGTGTCACTAGACAACTACCACGTCCACGAACACCACTCTGGCTATTACTGCATTGCTGAGCTTCCTCTAAGCTATGTGAGGTGCTGGGGACCCAGAGAGATGGGCTGAGCTGGGTGCTGTGCCCTAATGGATGGAGCAAAGGGCCCTGCTCAGGTTTAGGGGTATACTTACCCGGTGTGGGTACTCGCCACACTGACCCTGGGGAAGAAAGGGAAAAGAGAGGAGCATCTTAGCCACTTGTTGGCAGGGGGCTGTCCCTCAGGACAACCTAGGACTTATCGACATATCACACATGCTCATCACCTGCCAGCCCAGCTCTGCTCCTGCTCTGAACCCTCTGAGGCAGAAGAACTAATTCGCTCCCTTGCTTCCTGACTGGCAGCAGTAAAAAATGTCCCAGAGCTTGCTTGGAGGTGGCCCCATGGAGCCTGGAGCGGGACCACATCATACTCACTTGCCATGAAGCAGAGTCAGGAGTTATGCTCCAGGACTGGCTGAAGGAAATCTTTCTGGGGAGTTCTAGCCTCCTGGTGGGTCCACCCAATAGCCCTGAACAGGACATCCTGGATGGGAACAGCAGACATCTAGGCAGGTAGTGGGAGATACCTATCTGAGCTGGCATCAAATCCCAATACCATCCATCTGTCCAGGGCAAGCTCAGAAGAATCTTTACCAGAAATTTAACTGAGACAGAGCTACAATGCAAGGATCAGTTCAGGTCAATATTTACAAACTGACACCTCAAAGTGCTAGAAGCTATGGAGGTGGGTCAGTGGCCACTGTGCGTGGCAGGTGGAAGGAGCAGAGAAAGAGGCTGAAAAGGGCCAGGCTCTAGGTAGTCCTCTTCTCCCCAAAAGAATGTCAACCAGAGGACTTCACTTCTGTCTCATATACGTGACACCACAGGGGATTCCTGGAACTAAGGACTTTGTTGGAAAAAAATAAAACAACAACAACAACAAAAAACCACTATGAACCCTTTTCTACATGTTGGGAGGCTGTTTCCTGGAATAGAAATTCTGGAAACCTCCATCGGACTTACCTTTTCTCCTTTTTGTCCTTGGGGTCCCTACAAAGAGATGGAAATGAGAGAGTTAGAAAGCAAAGCTAGGGACACTGTGGCCCACAGTGTCTCCACAGGAAATATTAATAAGAGGTACCAACCGGCTGTCCTCGGGGGCCCATCAGACCCTGTGGGGAAGGAAACACACACAGGTCAGTGTCGGACAGAAGATGGCCCATATCTCAGGTGCAGGTCGGATGTGACTGTGATAGAACCTGGGGCTTCCAGGTACTTTCCAGAATGGCCGGCATCCTGAGGCTGTCTTCCTGTGCCCAAGAGATTCCAGGAGGTGCAGCCTTAGGAACTACATCCCAGCCCTTCCTCAAATAACGAACATGAATGTGTGTGCCTTGCTCTCCACACAGAATGTGGTAAAGAACAGATGTGACCTTTCATTCATTCTCCCAAAACTATTGTGGACCCACTGTGTACAAGGGCTGCATCTAGATGTCATGAGTACCCTGCCTTACTCAGCCCACTACCTATCCCGTCTCCTCCCAGAACCAAGACATAGGATGTCAAAAGCCCACGTGGAGATGCTGGCACATATCATCAGCATGAAACCCACTGAGGCTGAGGGGCTGCTGGGGACATGGGGGGCTGGGGTAGGGCTTCAGACATTGAGTGCTCTGGATAAACTTTCAGCAGAGGAGAGGAAGCAGGAAGTTGGCAGCTTATGCTGTGTTCTGGGCTCCTAAGAGAAATATGCGGGACCTTGGGGTTTCCTTCAAAGCTCCCAGTGTGTGTGTGTGTGTGTGTGCAAATGGTTTGTGCTTAACTACTACCCTAAAAGCTGGTAGTTAAACCCACCCAGGGGTACCTTGGAAGAAAGGCCTGGTGGTCTGCTTCTGTAAAGGTTATAGCCAAGAAAACCCTATGGAGCAGTTCTACTTTGTAACACATGGGGTGGCCATGAGTCAGAATCAGGTTTGGTTTGGTTTGGGGCTTCCTTCAAGGTTGTCCTGTCGAATTCTCAGGGCTAAGAAAGGAGTCCAGGGTTCAGGTAGACTCACTGGGATGTGAACCCAAGTTTGTCTGCCCACCAAGGCCCAGCTGTTTCTACCCACCATGCTCTGAGCTGGGCTGGACACCAGGGGACTGGGCTTTTAAATGTGCTCTATCACTAACTTTGAACAAGCAGCCCCAACCTGGGTGTTCTGAGGTCCTTTCTAGCCACCACCTGCTGGATCAATCTCTCTGGGGCTGGAAGAACTCAGGATTCCATGGGCTGATCCCATCTGGGTGGACTATCCTTGGGATACCAAGAGGTAGAAGCAGAGCCTCTTTCTTGCCCCTGACTTGCTAATTGGACCAGCCTTCATACTGGGCAATTCCCAGAGGTTCTTGACGAGGGGACAAATGGCCTGTGGGACAATCCATGGCACCCTGACCCACCTGGCTGATAGAGGGTATAGAGTCAGGTTAGTAGAATATGGTTTATCTGGCAGGAAAACAGGTGACCAGATACATAGGACCAGACCATCTGCACTCAGGATGGAGAGAGGAGTATGATGGAAGAGCACAGGGCAAGAAGCTGAGAAAAGTAACACAAAGGCTTTAGGATACAAAGACTTAAGAGGTCCCAAATGGTAGCCCTTGGAACAACTGTGGTCCCCTCAATTTGCCTCATACAGTTTCTTGTTTTTTAATTTCAATTAATTGTCAAAATTTAAGAGCAAGGAGAGAGCAAATGAAAATCTGGATCTCAAGCTTCTCTTAAATATTTCAAGATCCAATCACATGGCGACCATGAGCGCTTGCTGAGTAGCACGGCCCCTTTAAGAGAGACCTCTGCCACAGGCCCTCCATTATCAACCAACCCAAAACCAAACCAAACTCACTGCCATCGAGTCCACCTCACAGTGACTCTCACTGAATTTCTGAGGCAGTAAATCTTTACGGAAATAGATTCCAGTCTCCTTTCTGAGGAGTGGCTAGTGGGTTTGAACCGCCAACTTTCTGGTTAGCAGTCAAATGCCTTAGGCACTGCACCACCAGAGCTCCTTCCATTGCCAGACAGCCCATGATAATAGCTGAAGGCTTAAGAGTGCTGACTATGCCTTAACTGCTCATCCCATAACCTCCTTATGAGGTGGGTTTTACTTTTATTCCCATCTTTTAGACAAGGGACTAAGTAAGGCACAAGCCTGTGGATGGTGGGGTGAGATTTGCATTCAGAGCCCAGGCTCTCCTTTACAACACTTGTGTGGCTCCCTTGGCAGGACCCCTGACCTTGCCCAACTCTCCTGATTTTACAGAAGATTATATCCTTGTACACCTCATGTCAGGTTCTTGAGCCAGGGCATAGATGAGCTCCTTTTGACAGATGAGGACAAAGCTGAAGTGTGAGAGTGTAAGTCCCAGACTCCGGTATCAGATGGCCAGCAGAGGGGAAACCATTTGGGAAGATGGACAGCTGATAAGCAGGCCACAATACTTATGTTAAACAGCAGTGTGGAATTAATAGCTCTAGGGTCCCTGTGCCAAGTCAAACAGGAGTCTAATGGCTCTGTGGCCTGCCAGATTTTGATGGATGATGATGAGGCAGACAGGGGATCTATCACACTGACTCAGGCTCATGAGAGAGGGGATGCCCCGCCCTTTCCTCCAAGTTAGCTCTCACCCCTGGACAGATAGGGTAGGCTCAAGGGGATAAGTGGAGTAAGACAGAGGGATAATGTGCCCAGAGTGAGGGCAGGAAGAGGACCCTGTAGAAGGGCTGCTTTCCTGCAAGACAGAGGGCCCTCACAGCAAAGAGGGGGTGTGGCAGAGTGGTGGAACCTCACCGCATGGATTTGAGTCCTAGTTATGCTATTTAGAGCTTGTGAGGATTTGGGCAATTAACTGAATGACTCTGTGCCTTGGTGGCCCCTTTTACAAAATGGAGACAATAACCTGACAACAGTGGACCTTCTAGACTAAGAAAGATTAGGAAGAAAGCCCTGGTGATCTATTTATGAAAAATCAGTTAATGAAACCCTATGGATCACAATGGTCTGATTCTGTTGGGCATGAGATCACCACAAGTCAGGGCCAACTCAACGGCAGCCAACAATGACAACAATGAGTATTATAAAGCAGTGCCTAGTGCCTAAGGCATTTGACTGCTAACCAGAAGGCTGGCAGTTCAAACCCACGAGCCACTCCGTGGAAGGAAGAGTCTTCCACCTGCTGCTCCCAGTCTTCAAGGACTTTCCTGCCTCATGAGCCTGAGTCAGTGCCTTTGCACATGCTGTTCTTCCTCTTCCATCGCCTTTTCTACCTACTCTGATTAAATCCTCATCCCTCAGGCACAGTTCAAAAGTCTCTTTCTCAGTGTATTTCTGTAAAGATTTAGTGCCTCAGAAACCCAAAGGGGGTCACTATGAGTCGGAATCAACTTGATAGCAGTGAGTTAGGTTTTTTGGTTTTAGAGTTGATGAACATTATTTTTTCTGGGGTGCCATGGGAAGCTTTCTGGGAGAGATAGGCCCCCAAGAAGAGGAAGAGGCAGGAGACTGAGAAGGGGTTAAGGGGATTATGCATCCCAAACTCCTGGGATCCTAACCCTTCATGCCTCTGAAACAATAGGCCCACAGAAGCTCCATTGTTGCCATAGTCTTTGTTATTTCATGTACGTGTACAACATTGTTCAGAACAGGGTAGGGCAGCAAGAAATGCATTTGCAGTGCAGGCAGCTGTGATGTAGTGAAAGCTTCCTGGGAGACGTGGATTCCAGTGCCAGCTCTTCCACCTGCTGCTCAGTCTTGAAGGACTTGCCTGCCTCAGGACCTTTGCACATGCTGTTCTTCCTCCTCTATCACCTTTTCTACTTACTCTGACTAAATCCTCATCCCTCAGGCCCCAGTTCAAAAAGTCTCTTTCTCAAGAAATCCATATCTGACCCTCAGCCAGAAGTCAACCTGTTTTACTGATGTTTCTCAGAGCACCCTGTACTGCCTTTTCGTAGCACTTATAAGGCAATTTGTTGATTAGGTGAGCATTTAAAGGTATGTTTAACCCACTGGACTGTGAACTAGAGGATGGTAAGGATAGTGTCTGCCTTGTCCTGCCTGTAGCCCTAGCACCTGGCACAGCATCAAAAACATTTTATAAACAAACCAAATGCACTGCTGTCGAGTTGGATCCGACTCATAGCAACCCCTCCTTGAGTTTCTGAGGTGATATCACTATGGAAGTAGATTGCCCAACCTTTTTGGACACTCACTAAAAAGATGTGTTAAAGGAAGGAAAGAAGGCCATGAGGAGACATGGAAGGAGAGAAGGAAACAAGTGGGGAGGCAGTCAAGAAGGTGTGGAGGGAAGGAAATTGAGACCTGGGATTGAATCCTGTGTTGGACACTCCCTAGCTGTGTGATTTTAGGCAAGTTCTTAGTCTCTCTGAGCCTTAATTTCCCCAGCTGTCAAAGGGGATACTACTAGGACCTGGAGCGCAGGGTTATGCTGAGAATTAAATGAAATAATACATGTAAAGTACTTGGCCCAATGCCTGCTACACTCAAGAAGTGATCACTGAATCTGCATCAAGTGGACAGGCTGAGGCTCAGACAGGGGAGCTGAGTTGTGAAAGGTCCCACAGAAGTTAGGGCAGAATAGTGCTCCAGCCCAGGTCTCCCAGCCCACGTGCTTCCTTCTCCTTTTCCATCCACATTATCCACCTCCCTCAGCCAACAGGGTTCTGGAGTCTGCCAGCTCCAGAGAGCATCTGGGTGGAGAGCATCTTCCCGTGAGCACTTAGGGCCCAGAGCCTGCCAAACCCCACTACACAGGAAGACGGGGGAGCCTGCCACGTTGCTATTGCCACCCAGCGGCAAATTCCAAATTAAACTGCCACCCCTGTGAAGCTAGAGCTGTCACTTAAAATATAGGGGTGACATGGGACGTGGGAGGCAGGAAAGCATTCCAGTCCAGAGCCAGCCCATTGGCTCCTAATGACCCATCACTCCTCTCTGAGAACTGGTCTTCTTCACCTCAGAGTGGGTGACTACTGACAGGGAGGCCTTTCCCTTCTGGAAAATGTGGCCTGGGGGAGACTGGGGGGAGAAAACCATCCCCCAACCTTGCAAAAAAAAAAAAAAAAAAGCTCTGCAGAGGCAAGAAGGCAGCAAATGCCTGCTTCTCCAATGCTCCAATGTGCCTAGATGGGGTAGGAGTGCCTGGTGTGTGTGTGTGTGTGTGTGTGTGTGTGTGTTGGGGAGGCTCAGTGCTGCTGGGATTAAGGAGGCATGGTATTTCCTTATCATCCTTAGAGGATGTGCTGCCTCGGCTACCATGCCCCCAGGGTGAGCCCTGGTCCCCCATAGCACAAGCGAGCTGCAATTTGGGAATGCTGAGTTGGTCCCTAGCCTCTGTGTGACACTGGCCAGATCAGGGTCTCTCTCTGGACCTCCTTTTCCTCATTTCTCAGCAGAGAAACTCCTGCCTGTGCTAACGTGAGGATCTAGGGGGATGTGGGTGTACACAGCCAGAGATGTGACCTCATGGGGCAGTTCCTCCACTGTCACTGTGGGGCTTTTGCTGGGTACTGCTTGGTTGTAGTCCAGGAGGGCCAGGCAAATCCCCACCTGCTCCCTGAAAGGCAGGAAAGCTGGGTCTTACCATCTCCCCTTTGGGTCCTGGGTGGCCCTGAAAGAGAAGAACGTGAGTGCCAGGGAAGCATCACTTGCACCTGGAAGACCCCAACCCCTTCACCCTCCCCACAGCTCCTCCTCTCATTTCCACGTACTCTATCTGCTCCTTTCCCTTTTCACACATTCTCTCACTCACTTGCTCATCTGGCCAGTCCTTATCCCTCTAACTCCATCCCAGCCACACTTTACTGGCTTTGCTAGCAGCTGCCTGTTCTTCGGAGAGCAGAGGCAGGAAGAGTGGTCCGTCTGGGCCCCACCCCTCCCATATATGCTCAGGATGGCTTTGAGGGATGCCTGGTCTTGAGAGCCGAGTGGAAAGAGACATCAGAGTCCTCTTGGCTGGTTCTTAACTCTCTGGCCTGCATCCGGGAGCATGACCTGGAAAGCAGCCTCATCCCTCATCCTGGGCAGAGGGAAGCGGGTGGGGCTGGGCTGTTGGCAAGACCACATTGCACCCTCCCGGTACCTTCACTGGGGGGTGTTAAGGGCTGTGGAGGGATCAAGCTCTCCTCCGGCTTGTTCCTCCCTAGGGGTGAGGAGGGGATCTTCTTTTCCCTATAAACATTTGTGTTGGGGGACTAAGTCAGAAGGTCTAAGATGGACAAAGAAAGTCAGAGAACCATTAAGGAAGGGAAGAGCAGTCTTCATGGGGACTTGAGTGTGCGAGGGCCTCAACAGGGGAGGGAGACGCAGGGCATACCTTGGCAATGCTGGGATCAAGGGCTGACTGTGTGGGAATGAGTGTCCAGGCTCTTTTTAGAACTAGCTGGTGGAGTAACCCACCCTCTGCTTTCACTGCTGCCTCCTTGGCTTACTCTCTACCATAGCCCCTTCCAGAAGAGCCCAGAGTCATCAAATTCTAGGGATGGCTCTTGCTTTGGATGCTGGGAGGGTGGGGAGCACCTCTGCGTCTTCCCCTGGGGCAACTCTCTGGCCCAGGACAGGAGCTTTAATTCTCTAATCTCCTTCCAAGGAGTCAGGGTCTATCAGGAGACCTAGGGGGAGGGGAGAAGTGCCTAGCCTAACACAGGGTTCACTTACCGGTTTGCCGTCTAACCCAATGGGACCCTGAAACCAGAAAAAAGACAGATATAAGGACTAAACATCACAAGACTCCTGCAAAAGAGGCAACCTGGGTTGGGAGTTAAGAACACGTGCTTTGGACTCCAACAAGTTGGGGTACTTATCCACTTAGTGATTGCATGATTGTAGGTAAGTCTAAATCTCAATTCCCATCCTAAAATGGGGATGAGAATAATAGGATCTTCCAGAAGGGTCCTTGTGAAGAGTGACTGAAATGCTGCATGCAGGCTGCCTGGCACAGGGGAGAACCCAGTGGACGGCAATCACGGATCCCCAAAACCAAGTGGAGAGTGGAGAGCAAGTTCTTAAAAAATCAGGGATTGGCCAGCTTTGGCGTCTGTCTGGGGAAAATGAGAACTAGCTGCTCCCCTTCCCTGCCTCTTAGAACCTGGCTTAGGCCCCTTAGGCAAGGGTTAAATGGCACCCAGATGGTCCCCCACTGTCTCCTCTATAGGCAAGCACTCAAAGCCAGGTTGTGAGTGGCTTCCCTGCCTTGCATCATCTGTCCCATATTCTGGTGTCATGCTGACCTTTATTATTCAAGTCAACTAAGCCCAAAAAGCTGTGTGATCCCTGCCCTGGTGCCCCCTTTATTTGCATATTTGTTTTCCTGGCCTCTCTGGCACCATAAACTATGTAGTCTTCTTGGTTGCTCTCTGTGAGGCTGTGGAAGAGGGTCTTTCATGACTCAGGTTTCGAAGGGAAAGAGTGGCTTCAGGACTGGCCTTAGGTGAAGTTTAACCCAACCAGGCCCAGAGATTGTCTGGGACATAGCTAACCTCAGTCTTCCTCACTTACCGGAAATCCAGGAAAACCTCGTGTGCCCGGCTGGCCCTGAAAAGAACAGGAGAGGAATGAGGATGAATGGGGAGGAGATGAAGCTAATCCTTTGTTCTCTGGCTCTTCTTCGCTTCCTCAAGAGACACCACAGTGACCCACTAGGGAGGGAGAAAGATGGAAATGGAACATTGATGGGAACCCCTTTGTGTACTAGTGGTGGAAAGGAAAAAGCAAAAGGCAGCATCCTTTGGGTTTTCAGAGGTAGTAGCCCCTGGAGAGCTCCCCACTGCTGAGGACAATCTGAACCTTGGCATGTAAACAGGTGGGAGAACAAGGACAGGCCCCCAGCCCCCAGCGTGCTGGACTCCCGGCTGGGACTTTCTAAGTCTTTTTTATTTACACATTGGTCATCGCTCCCAGCCACTTATCTAAGGATAGTTTGGACATCAGTAGAGCTGAACCTCAGCCCAGAACTTAATTTCAGAACGTGTGTTTTCAGGCTGGAGGTCAGATTGCTCATTTTCCTCCCACCCTGGCCAGCAGGCTTCTCCTATCACTTGGGAAATCTCTGGATTCCCCCAATCTTTGTGGGATGGAGAGCATCTCATGCCCATTTTCTTGGAGGTACGGAGTGTAACACAAAGCTAGTTCATTGGTCTCAGCCCAGCAGCTTATGGTCAAGACCCAGAACAAAAGTGATGTGCTGAGGTCAGAAGCAGCATGAGGCTATGAGCATCCAGGCTGAGAAGGGCTGACCAGAAGGCCAAGGGCAGCAGCGATCTGAGAAATGTGACTCACATCACTCTGCTTCTCGAGCAGCAGCAGGGGCTCCTTTCTACTCACATATCATTCAAGGCCACCTTCAATTTTGTCCAATCAACCGTTTTAGCCTCCCTCCCTGCCTCATCTTTCCACCTCTCCTTTGCTCAGGCACACTGGTCCCTCACTTGCCTTTCCCAAGACACTTTTCACACATCCATCCAGCTCGGGACTTGAAGTCTCTCCTTGGCTGAGAGGGCCATAATCTCTTTATAAGCACGGGCTTTAGAGTCTGGCCGACTGAGTCTAATCCTTGCTCCACCAATGACAGTAGTGTGACTCTGAGCAAGTGGCCCAATCTTTCTGGGCCTCACTTTCCTCATCCACAGAATGGACATAACAGCATAACTTCATGTTGCTGTTAGGTGCCATCGAGTTGGCTCCGACTCATAGCGACCCTATGCACAACAGAACGAAACACTGCTCGGTCTTGCCTTATAATCCTTGCTGTACCTGAGCCCATCATTGCAGTCACTGTGTCAATCCATCTCGTTGAAGGCCTTCCCATCTTTTGCTGACCCTCCAGTTTACCAAGCATCATATCCTTCTCCAGGGAATGGTCCCTTCTGACAACATGACCAAAGCAGGTGAAACCAAATCTGGCCATTCTTGCTTCTAAGAAGCATTCTGGGTGAACTTCTTCCAGAACTGATTTTTTAGTTCTTCTGGCAGTCTGTGGTACTTTCAGATTCTTTGCCACTGAATTACATCTGATTATGTTTGTAAAGCTGGGGACAGCGGTGATTCAGTGGTAGAATTCTCGTCTTCCGTGTGGGAGACCTGGGTTCGATTCCCTGCCAGTGAACCTCATGCACATCCCCCACTTGTCTGATAGTGGAGGCTCAAGTGTTGCTATGATGCTGAACAGGTCTTGGGAGCTTCCAGACTAAGGTGGACTAGGAACACAGGTCTGCCAATCTACTTCCAAAAACTCAGCCAATGAAAACTTATGCATCATAATCATCTGATCTCATTGTGCATTGGGTCATCATGAGTAGGGGGCTAGCAAGAACAACAAGTGTTTGTAAAATGTATTGCTTGGTACCCTGTAAGTATTCAGGAAATGGTGGCTTCACGTTTCTTGAATTGAACTAAAAAATATAATGCAAGGTTGCTTTGGCACTCAGTAAGTCTCAGGATCAATGTAGATTTGCTTGTCAAGCAGTGGAGTTTCAGAATCAGGTCCTATCCACAGGAAAATTCTCTGTATCCATCAGATGTGACTTTCAAAGATTTCCTGGCTGCTCAGGTCCTCCTCGAATCTGTGGACATGAGTGCCCAGAGCTCTCTGCTCAGAGGGCATGCCAGCCCCTCTGGCTGGGTGGGATGGGGACCCTGCCATTAGGGTGGGTGCACTGGCCAGGCAGAAGTGAGCTGGAGTCTGCTGCTGGCTCAGGCTGGGGTTGTGGCAGGCAGTCAAAAGGGCAAAAGGGAAGAGCACCACTCATAGATCAGAAGGGCCTTGGGCTTCTCTCCTCTCAAGGATAAGTGACACTAAGAATAGCACCAAGGAGAAAACCCGGAAATCGTGCAGTGTGGCCTCTGAAACCTCCCAGTGTAAACTTTCAACTGCTGTGAACACTGAGAGGCCTGGAGGGAAGGTCAGAAGAGGATTCCAGAAAACAGTCTCAAGTCCCACTCCGGATAGCGTTTACATGGCAGGGATACAGCATTTACAGGGCAGGGATAACCACGCGGTTTTGTAATTACAGAGCCTGCTGGATAGCAGGAAACATCTCTCCAATCCAGGGCCAAATCCAGTGCTCTGTTGTTATGTGCCATTGAGTCGGACCCGACTCATAGCGACCCCTCCTTGGGTTTCTGAGGCAGTATTGCTAAAGAAGTAGATTGCCCAACATTCCTTCCGAGGAGTGGCTGGTGGGTTTGAACTGCCAGCCTTTTGGTTAGCAGTCAAGTGCCTTAGGCACTACGCTACCAGAGCTCCTAATCCAGTGTTCTAAGCAGGGCGTTTTTGGGGATCTTGGGGAGCACCACTCATAGATCAGAAGAGCCTTGGGCTTCTCTCCTCTCAAGGATAAGTGATACTAAGAATAGCACCAAGGAGAAAACCCGGAAACCGTGCAGTGTGGTCTATGAAACCTCCCAGTGTAAACTTTCGACTGCTCTGAACACTGAGAGGCCTGGAGGGAAGGTCAGAAGAGGATTCCAAAAAACATCCTCAAGTCCCACTCCAGGACCAAATGGAAACTGGGACTCAACTTCTTGGAGTGGTTGGGACTGGATAAGGCATTTGAGGAGGCCTGGAAATGGATTTTCATTTACCTCTCTTCATACGCGGTGCAGCTGAACATTTTTCCCTACACTGATTGAGTGGTCCTATTAATCTGTGTGCTACCTTAATCATTATTTTTACTAGGTTGTCTTTTTCATAGTGATTTGAGTAAGGTTCTTGGTTAAGAGAAGTAACTCTTTGACAGTCATATTAGTTGAGAATCTTCTTTCCAAGTTGGCATTTGTCTTTGATTTTGTTTATGGTATGATTTCTCCCACATGGGAGTTTTACAGCTATGTAGACAAATGTCAATCTTCTCCTGTGGCTTCTGGGTTTTGTGTCCTGTAGCAAAGGGCACAAGGTTCAAAGGTTCTGAGTTACAAAGCGTTCACTTATTTTTTTGTCCTTGTGCTTTTATAGTTTCCTGTTTTATATCTAAACATTTCACTCATTTGCAATTTATTCTGATATAATGGAGTGTGGCAGAGATCTTATTTCTTTTTCTAAGCTTTACCTTTTCCTAAATGGCTAGTCAGCTGTCCCAACAGCATTTCCTGAATAATCCATCTTTTCCTTTTATGAAATGAAACCTTTATAATTCATATATCAAATTCCCATATGCATTTGGCTTGGTTGCTGGCCTCCTTATTCAGTTCCATGCATTTGTTTGTTGTAATTGTTTTATTTTTATAATCCCACTGTTTGATATTTAGTACAACTAGTTCCCTCCTCCCTGTCCTCATTACTCTATTTTTCAGAATTTTTCTGACATTTTCAAGAGCTTTTTCCAAATGAAATTTAGTATTATTTTGTTGTCAAACTCTCAACCCTACAGAAAACTCACTGGGTTTAGGATCACATTAAATTTGTACATTACAGATTTTTCTGCAGATTAATTTATGAATTAATACTTCATCCTTCTAGACTAGAGCAAGAGAAATATGCTTTACTTTACGTTGACTTCTGAAATCTCCTCCTTTAATTCAAAGCCTGGCTAGCAATGGAGTTAAATGGTTCCACACTTTCTGGAAGTGGACCCTGTGTCTACCTGTCCCTGACTTTCCGACAAGATCCTGAACATGCAACTTGCGTGGGGTAAAGCAACTTGGACAGTCAGAAGTTCTGGTTGGGAGGAGTCAATCAGGAAGTCTCCCTTCCCTCTTGACTCCTGAAAGAGAGTCCATTGTATCTGTTCAGAGCCTGTCTTCCTCTTGTCTTCCCATCTCCAAGCCAGGGCTGGCTGACCATCTTTCAAGCAAGACTCTGTGCTGGCAAATGTTCATCCCTGGCTGTGAGTGCAGAGGGTGGGAGAAGAGAGCCCTGCTTTGTATAGCACTTGCCAATTTCTGTGGCATAGATTCTCTCACCATGGTTGATTTCAAGCCTCCAATGTGATGTCACTGAGCACAGACTTGGCAGGAGATGTGCACCACTGGCTCCCGTGAGACAGGGTGAGTAGCTCCAGCAACCATGCACTCTCACCCTCCAGCAGCCAGTGGACCTTGCTACTTGGACATGACAAAGACATCACAGACTCATCAAGTTAAAATTAAACTCCTCTCTTCCTGCAAAATTGCCACCTTCTGGAGCAGGGCACCACCATCCACTTGTTTCTCAAGGCAGAAATGTGGGGTCATTCTGAGCCCTTCCTGTTCCCCAATCCTCATTTTATCATCCTGTCAATTTAACCTACAAATATTTTGCCAGTTCTTCCCTTCCACCCATCCCCATGGACTCTGCTCCTGCCCAGGCCTCAATTACTGCAAGTGCCTTTCAATCTTCAGCTTCTTCTAAACCATGTCCTCTTAGGAGAGGAAGCATTGATGATCTTTTAAAATTGCAAATCTGACTGTGTCGCTCCCAGCTTAACACAATGCAAGGGCTTTCCCCTACCCACTTTTGAGCATCTTTGACAAGCTCTTTCATGACCAGGCCCTTGTTTACTGCCAGCCTCACCTCTCACTCACCTCACCTATGCTTTGCTCCAGAAAGGACTTTCCTCATTTCTTCAGTAGCTTATAAGTGCCCCTTCTGTGTTACAACCTCCTTGTTCCTCCAGATCTGTTACCTGGGTAACCTCTACTCATCCTTCCATGCCTGACCCCTAAACCCAAGTCAGGTGCCTCCTCAGTATCTCTTCAGTTCCCTAAACACCCCCATCCTAGCATTACTGTCTGCATTGTGATCATTTTGTAATTGCAGGTCCCCTACTAGACAGCCTGAGATGCAAAGATGCCTCTGTCAAGTTTTCATTACCTACCCAACACCTAGCATGTGGTAGGTACCTAAGAAATGTTAGTGGAATGAATAAGTGAAGTAACATTCAACAACTTTATCTACCTGGCATGGGGCAATTCTTGTGGATGAGGCTTCTTCTCGGTCCTTGAAAAGAAGCTGGGGACTCAGGGAGGGAATGGGTCCCTCTGAGATGGGGCATTTCCTGGTCTGGCAATGACCTTCCTAGACAGTATCTCAGGGACCAGCCTCTCCCTCGGTTTAATGAGATTCTCTAAAGAGTCAACACACCCAGACAAGATGCTGCTCCAGCATCTTACCCCTTTGGGATGTGAATCACTGCCTTCAAAGAGCCTAGGATCGTTTCCTTCTTTGCTTGAACCATTTATCAAACTCCAAGAGAGGAGGCAGGTGGCCCCTGAACACAGTCAGGCTCTCTGATCAGCAGCATTTATTTGGGTCCTTCCTGCCTGAGTGGGAAGCCACATGTTCCCCATTATCCCTGCCGCCCAGGGCTGCCCCCACTTGACCTCTTCCCCTAATGACAAATGGCTCCTTTGTCCACCCTGCCCCCTGCTATTCTGGCTCAGGATGGCTTCTCTGGAGGAGCTGAGGGGGCTGTTCTTGTCACTGAGCAAGGACTCAGCAGGGGTGGCCCCAGCCATCCACATGGTCATCAGCTACACAGGCCAAAGTCGGGGGACAAAGTTTGGGTTTGCTCAAAGCTTCTGGTGCCATCAATTCTTGCCTAGCAGCCACACAGACCCACGGGAGAATTTATTTGCCTTAAGGTAAACATCCTTTACGAACAGTAGAGTTAAATGCGTGGAAGTGGAGTGTCAGGGCAAGAATACATGGTTTGGAGTGAGGCAAACCCGGCCAAACCCAAACTCCAACACTTACTAGCTACATGACCATAGACAAGTTATCAAACCCTCAATTTGCTTTTCTGTGAAATGGGCTGGTGGTGCCTGCCTCCCAGCCTTGTTGGGAGGATTGAAGGCAACCCACAGGTACATGAGCTTTCAGCACAGGGCCAGGCACAGAGCTAGGTGTCCAGGAGACAGAATGCTATTACCTGGATAGAAGGTGACTTTCACCATTGGAATCAAGTGGTAGGTATGCTCTTGATTAGGTTTACATATGGTGGGCTAGAAACCAGGAGGCAATGAGACAGACACCCAGAACATTCTCCAAAAGTGGGGCCTTTGCAACAACTTTAAGGTAACATGTTGACATGATGCTGATGAAAGATGCTGATGAAATGCTGTTGGAGGAGGCAGTGAGACTGACATAGCAGAACCATCTGTGCTCACTGGGGAGGCAGACAGAGATGTGGTAGGGGCTTGCTCTAGGCTCAGTCCTCAATATTAAAACTTGAGGGACTGTCTTCTTTCTTTGTGCTCTTCCCAACTCCTAGACCCTCCCTGGCTAGGCCCCACCTTTGTCAAGAACAACTGGACTCAGTAATTCACACTGTGGCTCCCAAAGCTCCCAGTACACACAAGGAGGCCCGTATGAGGGGCCATGTGAGCCCAGAAGCCCATACGATAGCAATGCCACAGCCTGGTTGAGTGTAGCAGCAGGAGTGGCAGTTCAGGGTATAGACTCTGAGCCACACCACTGTTTTGGGTTTTGGGATCCAATCTCAGTGTGGCCACATTCTAGCTGTATGACTCTGGGCAAGTCATTTATCCTCTCTGTGCCTCGGTTTTCTCATCTGTAAAGTGGAGGTATAACAGTATTTACCTCATAGGGTTCTCATGAGAGTTAAGTGAGATAATGTGTGCCTGCCATGCTCTAAGTGCTTTCTAAGGGTCAGCCCTTAGCGTTATTGTGATGGTCTGAGTCCCAGTAGACCTTGCTGAGAAGGCTATGTCCACCAAGCCCTGGACTGGCCTGCCATCTCTGGCTCTCCAGCCCCTTCCTGCCTCTCTCTCTTACCTCCCCCAGGTCTCCGAGCAGCCCCAGTGTGGGTCCATCTCTCAAACTCACCATGGCTCTTCTCTAGACTTAGTTCAGTTGTGGTCTCTTCCATTGGACATAACTTAGCAATTTGTTCTTTGACCCACCTCCCCAGGCTATGAGTAACAGAGACTCCTGCTTCTCATTGGTTCTCTCTGTTGAAGTCTGAGAAGTGGGCAGTCTAGGCTTCATCCATCCATCAGGCTAGCCTCAGACTCCCAGGAAGGATGAGCTGGTAGGGTCCTTCAACTTGCTCAGAGAGCACTTTAAAGACACAATTCTTTTGTTACGGGAGAGGACACAGGCTAAGGTGCACGCACTTCTGGAGCCATGGGCATGCCCTGTTCACACTGGGTGGGCCTAGGGGGTACTCCTAGGGCTGAGGCTAGCCCTCTGCTCTCCTCCTTCGCTCATAGAGAAGATGCCTGCTGCCTGGGGGTCCAGAGTCCTTGGTTCTAACCCTGCCCTAGTCTCTAAGCAGGGGGCCCTGACCAAGCCACTGCCCTCTCTTTGGGCCTCAGTTTCCCCTTCTCAGAAGGCTGGGCTAGAAAATCGCTGATTCCCTTCAACATTTGGTGAATTTATTTAAACCCCATGGACTAAGACCTATTTGGGAAGAACAACCACACCTCTTTACCATAACCACAGTATCTTCCCGGCTTCACCACCCACATCCCCCTTCCTGTCCCTAAGGAACCATATCTGAGGGGAATCTCACTGATTTTTCCAAGTTCCCATCACTGGGTGGAGGTACTTAGACACCAGGGTTGAGACCACGCGTGAAAAGGAGACTGAGAATGAGTGGTGGCCTGGTCTTCGCCTGACGCCTGGAGTCACCACCTGGGTCAGGCAATCTGGACTTAGGTTCACTGGCTTCCAGAAATAAAAGCAGGTCCTTCTGGAAACAAAGCTAGCATACTCTCTCCAGAGAAGTGAGCATTTTCCCCCTCTGCCATAAACAGCAGGGCTGTCTCATAGCTCTGCAGCCTGTCTCACAGCTCTGCAGCTTTGTGGCTAGAGGGTAGGCCCTCTGAGCCCTCCCAGGAGGCTGTAATTTGGGTATATTTAGTCAGGTCATTTTCTCTCACATCAATAACAGCACTGTGGCCTGGTCTAGCCTACCACAGCACAGGTGGGTGCCACCACAGCAGAGGACCTCCAAGACTCACTCCCCTTACTCCTGCCCAAAGCCTTTCCATTCACTTATCTGTCCTCCCACCCCACTCCAAAAAAAGAAATAAAACCAACTCACAGGGGGGCCTCTCGGACCAATGATGGACATCCCAGCATCTCCTGGGGCACCCTGTGGGGAGAGAGAAAGAGAGAGGAGAGGGAGCGGGGAGAGTAGGGCAGGGCAGGAAAGGGGAAGAGAGAGAAGGAAAAGAGCTGGCGGGTGGGGAAAGAGGAGCAGGAGTGGAGTGAGATGCAAAGCCAGGGGATGGGGAGGACAACAAAGGGGTTAGAAGAGAAGAAACAAAAAGGGGGGGATGAGTGGAACATTCCAGAAGGTCCGGGAAGAGCATTGGGAAAGCAGTAGGAATGAAGAGAGATGTGTGTAAGAGCACAGATGTGAGATCCAGGGTGATGTGACCCGAGGCCGGGGAAGCAGAGGGAACAGGTAATCATTGATGTGATGGGTAAGGGGGGGAGGGGGGCTCAGCTCAGCAATGGCTGCCCTGGCCAGAGGCAGCTGAGTTGTCACACCCACGGCCTGCTCAGGCTGCTCTCCAACCTCTCCCAGCCTTGCTCAAGTTTCAATGGGCCTGCAGCCCTCCTTCCCACCTTATCACCAAACACCCATCTGGCTGCAACCCCTGCCACTGCTGACACTGGTGGATGGGGGTCTGCCCTGAGGATGGGGCTGCTAGGATAGGATCCGAGAACTATGCTTGCTAAGTGGCCCAGCTCATTCCAGCTGCCTGGACTGCCTAGTTCTGGTTTGTGAGTGACACAGAGGGGTTAGGGCTGGAGCAGAATGTCTAAGTCCCAAGGGCATGCTACAGGGTACAAGGCTTTGAGTTCAGAGGGCTGTGGGAGGGTGGCTGAGATAGCTAGATAAACATTTGTGTGGGGCGGGGGAGAGAAGGAGGATGAAGAAAGGACTTGAAGGGGGGCGAGATGCAGCACTCTGGCAGGACAGGGACTGTGCCCTGCTCGGAGCGGAGCAGGACGCTGTGTCCACCATGAGTCCACTCCTCCTGCAGAGGCATGCCAGGGGATGAAAAAGCCCGGGGCCCTGAATTCAAGGTCTTGCTTTGCCATTTGACTAACTGGGTGATCAAGTAAGTTTTGGAACTTCTTCTCCAAGCCCACATGAAACCAGGATGCTGAGGGCTGCTCTGCTGACCTTAGGGCTCAAGGGGTATGAATGCATTTTGTAAAAAGCAATCCTCACACCCAGGTGAGAAGTGATTTAAAATTACAAAACCAAAAAGTCACTGCCTTTTAGTCAATTCTGACTCATAGCTATCCTATAGGACAGAGTAGCACTGACCCATAATACTGTTTATGTCATTGCAGCTAGATAAACATTTGCATACAGTGAAACCTGTGAGAGCCAGAACTAGAGGGATCTGCTCTGTTTTTCTGAGTCTCACAAGTTTCCCGCCTTTGACAGGGTGCAATCTTACTTGCCACTTTTCTATTGTTCCTATTTTAGTGGGAAATATTTGAGTTTTCCTTCTCTGGTAAGTTTCTGCCTTACATAGGTTTTGGCTTTTGCAGATCCTACTGTACAAGGCAGTGTGTATGACGGTGAAGAGCACAGATTTGGGAACTAGAAGGTTTGGTTTTGAGGTCCAGCTCTGCCCTTGTGCAATCTCGGGTAAGCTACTTAACTTCTCTGTGCCTCAGTTTCCTCATCTGGAATGCAGGGCTAATAGCACCTATCTCATGGGGGGATATGAAAATTACAGCAGGTAATACTGTAGTGTGTTTCAAACAATGCTTGATGCCACAGGAATGCAAGATGTTAACAGTAGGAGAAACAACGCATGGAAGGTAGAATGGGTATATGGGAACTGTGTATTTTTGCACAATTTTCTATAAACCTAAAACTGCTCTAAAAAAGTCTGTTTTAAAAAAAGTATTTACATTATATTAATTTACTAAGTCAATACTCTTCCCCCTCAAACAAAAACAAAAACCAATGCCTGGTGCATGGAAGGTGCTAGCAACTATCTGTGTTAGTTATTTTCCTTATACAACAATGTGCCTGCCATGTGTCTTTCTCTAGGGCAGTTGAGCCTGTGATGGGGGTACTGACAGACATTCTTCCTTCTGTATAGGAGACAGTGTACTTGGAGCTCTGGTGGCGTAGTTCCTAAGGCATTTGACTGCTAACCAGAAAGTTGGCAGTTCAAACCCACCAGCCACTCCAGGGAAGGAAGACTGGGCAACCTACTTCCATAAAGATTTACTGCCTCAGAAACCCAATGGGGGTCACTTCGAGTTGGAATCAACTCGACGGCAGTGAGTTTGGTTTGGTTTGGTTATACTCCATCCTTGGAGTCAGACTGCCTGGGCTCCTCTCTAGCCCTGCCACTTTCTAGCTGGGTGACTTTGGGTCTATGGCCTTGCCTCTCTGTGCCTGAATTCTCTCTGACGAAAAATAGGACTACTGAAGACTCCTTGGTAGGGTGTGCGATTGTTATCGGGATAACAATGGCAAAACTCTTAAACTGTACCTGATATAATCTGTGCTTAATATACAGTAGCTGCAATTGTTATTGCTGCTCTTGGTGCACTGGAGATGGGAAGAATATACTGCAAAAATACACAATGTACAGGCAAGGCAGCAGGGGGTGAGGGGGTGGCCAGAAAAGTACTAGATCTCACTCCTGGCCCCTTCTGTCTCAATTGTTGTGGGGCCTTGGCAAGCCCTGTCCCTTCTTTGGGCCTCAGTCTCTTCACCTGTTAAGTGAGCTGGTTAGGTATGTTGCTCTCTGAAATTTCTCAAGAACCTGCCAGGGCTGAAGTTCCAGGACAGCTTCTGGGCTTATCCAGCTCACAGAGGCCTCTTCCCAGGGCCTCCACTCTACAACCCTGGAGTTCTCCCCTGGACTTTCCCCCTGGGTGCTCCTTCTAGAGCAAAGAAGGGGCTTCTATGTGTGAGGACACCAGTGGTGGGGGCTGGCTTTGAATCAGCTACACAGAAGAGAGTGCTTCCCACTTGGGGATGGGGAGGGGTATGTCCACACCAGGATGTCAGAACCATGAGGCCACAGGCGGCCATGGGGGGGCCAAGGAGACCCACTCAGCCAGGAAAGCTGGGACCATCGCCCAGGAATCCCAAAATCTCTGCCCAATGGCATGGAAGCTGTTAGGAAACTGGGCAGGCATTGTCTTATGCATCCGCTGAGAGGGGCTGGGAGGGCGGAGCAGACCCAGCCTGCACACTCTGGTGAGGCCCAGGTGGTGGAAGGAGGGCTGGGGAGTGGGCCTCTGAAAGCCCCTTGCCCGGAAGTCCATGTCAGAGAAGAGGTTGGGATTGAAGAGCTAAGGGCGAAAATGTGGACTCACCTTCTCGCCTGCTTGGCCCTTTACTCCCTGGGGCAGCCACATGCAAACAGGGTGCGGAGGAAAGAGGGAGGGAGAGAAAAAAGAGAAGATGAGAGAGAGGCACAAATACAAGATCTGTGTTAATGGCATAATGACCAAATGAAAGAAATCACCGTGAAATAAGAAACAAAGCAAAACACAGATGCTGACACATGACAGGCTCCATGTCCAACCGACATGTGGAAGGCTATTGCCTCACCCCCTGGCCTGTTCCAGATAACTGAGAGAGAAACAGTGATAGGGACTGGAACAGGCCCTCCATATGTATGTGTGTAAGCGTGTATGTGTGCACACATGCTGTGCATTCTGGTATGTATATGTGCTGCGTGTAAGTGTGTGTGCTGTGTGTGCATGGGAGAGAGAGAGGAAGACAGGATGAGAACTAACTTAGGTCAGGAAATCCATGGTCCCCTCCAGGTGGGTCAATTTGAGGTGGGGTGAGGATGGGTCAGAATCTCCCAAGGGCTGTGCTACTATGGTAAAGTCTATGAGGCTGGAGAGTCCAGCTGACTGTCAAGGACAAAGCTTTGCTGAGCTAGACAAGCCAGGAGTTGTTAGGGCTGGCAAGGTGGATGGATGGGCATGGAGGAGCATGAGTGGACAGAAGGCGGGACGCATACCTGGGAGGATGGAGGTTGGGCCAAGGATGCAGAGGAAACTGGGTAGCTCTGCCAAGGGTCCCTCCCTTGTAACCACAGTGACCATTGACAGCCATCATCCACCCTGCTCCAAACAGGCCATGGGCTGGCCACTTCTGGTGAAATTATCCCCACCCTAACTCAGGCACTTCATACCCACAGACCACCTGGGAGTCTTTATCAGGTACCACATGCCAGGACACCTACTGGGCAGCCAAATGGACTCATTGTCACATCTGAAATAGCACCAAGAGCATGAGATGGGAAGACCTCCTGCGGCTCCCCAGCTCCCCACTGTGAGTCAGAACCAGGCTCAGATGGACACTTCCTGGGGGGAGATGCTCACAGACCCAAGAAGAAGAGCAGTGGGGGAGGAGGCTGGAAGAGACTGGTTTGCATTTTCAGCCTTCCTGCAGACCAGCAGCTGCACTGGGGTGCAGGTTCCTGAAGCTTACCTGTTAGGAGCAGGAACTCTGGGACTGAGAGTCAGCTTGGGTACAATGCCCAGCTCCACTCTAATCCTGGCATATTGAATCTCAGCATCCTCATCAATAAAAAACAAAACAAAAAGCCCACAAAAAAACCAAACCCATTGTCATTGAGTTGATTCTGACTCATGGTTAACAGGGTCCCAAAAGCATGGGCTAAGAGGTGGTGGTGGAAAACACACGGGCTCAGACCACCACACAACAAGCCCTCAGTGAGTGGTGACTGGAGAATGTTTCCTTGCTAAGTACAGGGAAGGAGCGAATGACTCGAGTGAATCCAGGGCTTGCAATCAAGAGAATTAAAGCAGAGAAACAGGGCCAGGCAGGGAGTCCGTAGTGCACTGGGAAGTGGAGGGATGGCCTCACATTGTGTGCCCCAGGGTACCCCACCTCCAAGCCTTGGCAGATGGGTGCTGGCTGTGGCTGATGGAATCAAAACTCTGTAACACAGGACACTTGTCCTGAACCTCTGATGTCCCAGGCCCAGGCTCTGTGGCTTTACCCTAAGGATCAGAGATCTTCCTTAGAGCTGTGACACCAACAGCCAAGTCATGTGGTGGGGCACAGTATTGTCATGGACAAGAGCACAGGTTTTGGAGTCAGGTTTCTTGGGTTAAAATCTCTGCTCAGCTACTTCCTGGTCATGTGACCTTGGGAAAGACTTAATGTCTGAGCCTCCGTTTGCAAATCTGGAAAATGGGGATAGAAACTGTGCCTACCTCATACAGTTCTTGTGAGGATTGATGAGCCAATGGGTGTAAGGATCTTAGCGCGTGGTTAGCATTCACACATGTTAACAATGATGTGGAAGCCTTTTCTCAAACACTGAGGCCCACCTCAGGCATGCAAACTCACACACTAAATGCCAATCCCAGACAAGGAGGTGGTATTAGAAGGCAAAGAGCATGAGTGACACGGCCATATGGCATGGGGGTGCTCAGGGGGCCCTGGGGAGCCAGCGTAGGGATGGCTAGTGTGGAGTTAGGAATCAGGCAGGAAGGCAGCCTGGCTACATCCTAGACCAGGCTGGGTGGTGGTGAGGCCTCACATGGTCACCACTGCCCTGGGCTGCTGCACTGCCCTTTCTAACCCCTTAGAGACCATCACCCTGAAGCCAATGGGAAAGAACCCTGATTCCAGGACCTCGAGATCTAGTGTGGGTTTCTGGAAAACACTCTCCCTAACAAAAATTTCCATTTCCTTTTCTCTATCCTAAATTTTCTGCAGGAAACATTAAATATCTGAAATCTCAGTCTACTCCTTTGGATGCGGAGGTTCTGCCTGGAACAAGCCCTGTCACCGCCATCTCGTTCTGGCACATCATCATCAACAGAAGGTGGGTCCTCCTGAAACGCTGGCCCCAAAGCAGTGCCTGTGACATGAACCCACTTTTCCCACACACTGACCACTAGTTTTGAGGATGTTTCTCTCCACCATTTGCTGCTCAAGCTGCAGGACGGTTGCAGGAGCCACCAGTCTAGGGGAGCTTCCAGTGTCAAAGAGAGCTCAGGTCTCACTCTGTCACCAGCAGGTGATCTGCAAAGAGCTTTATTCATGCAACTTTCCTGAGTCTGTCCTTTGTCAGGGCAGCTTTCTGGAGAAGAAAGCCATATCACGAAAACTGAAGGGCTGGAATAAACTTCCCTTCTCTGTTCCTATCCCTTCCTGAAGGTGACTGGGGCAGGAGATGGACAGGGAGAGTGCTGACTCCCTCCTTGGTGCTGGGGCAGACAGCACCTTGCCACGGTTTGGAGGACAGGCGGTGTGGAGAAGCAAGCAGTGACCACACAGGCAGGTACAAATGCATGACTCACCACACGTCCAGGCATCCCAATGGCACCTTTGTCTCCCTGATGAACGAGGCAAACAATCAGATGTGGTTGGAGTTGGACAGCATGTACAGGACCCCACAGGCTACCTGTGCATCCAACAGCCCAGTTTGTATGGCCCCAAGTGTCGTGTGGGTGGGCTTCCTCACGTGGTCCCCCTGGTGCTCAGCAAGTGGCCACCCCTCTTGCTCTCTGCACTTGGGAAAGGTGTTGGGGGGAAAGGAAGTAAAGCAGGAGTCTGGTCCCTAGCTTGAGCCTCAGTCTATGTGTATCATAAAGGGGTCCAACGGGCCCTTCCCCCCTTAGCCTTCTGTTGCAATCTATTTCCACTATGGCCAGGATATGCCTCATCCTTATCACGCTCAACTGCAAGACACAAAGCAAGGAGACTGGCAGTTCCCGTGTGACTGATGGGTGAATCACTTCCGTAGGTCCCACTCTGCCAGAGCTGGGGAGCAGTGCCCCTGCTGCCCTGCTCCTCCCCTGGGCCCTCTGTCTGAGAAGCCTACTGAGGGAGTCTTTCCCACTCCTCCTCCTCAGGCACCTCTAGCACGACAGGAAGGGCCGTGAGACATGTGGACTTAGCCACATCATGAGTTTCAGCAGCTCAGGGGAATTGCTTTGTTTTGTAGCCAGGGGTTCCATCTTCTCACTCTGGAAATCTGCTTATTAAGTTTTTTTTTTTTTTTCCCTCCCCCTTTGGGTTGAAAATATTTTTTTGCAATCATACGCAGGCAGACATCATAAAACCTGGGGTGGGGCCTGGAGGTTGCAATGAGCCTGGGAGGACAGAAAGTGATCGTATGGAGAAAAGAAGACAGTGCTTGTCCCAGCCTATTGGAGAGGAGAGAGTTGGGTTCTTGGATACACCCAAAGTGTCTGGGCATTTCTGAGGGTGACTCTGTGCATCTGCTGACCTAACCGAGGCAAAATGTTTTGAGGGACAATTAGCATCCAAGATGTGTGAGGGAGGCAGCGGAGAATAGCAATCAGCTCTAAAATTAGGCTCTTGCTACACATATATTGTCAAAACCAAGAATATCTTTGAATAAGATGTTCCGCCCTTGGTGAAGAGTGCCTGGGTAGCAGCAGTGGTTGCTGTTAGCTGCCACTGAGTGGGCCCTGACTCTTGGTGATTCCACACACAGTGGAATGAAATGCTGTCTGGTCCTTTGCCATCCCCTTGATCAGCTACAGACCAGACCTTTGTGATCTACAGGGTTTTCAGAAGTAGACCACCAAGTCTTTCTTTCTAGTTTGTCTTAGCCTGGAAGTTCCAATGAAACCTGTTCAGCATCATAGCAACACACAGGCCTCCACTGACGGACAGGTGGTCATTGCACATGAGGTGCACTGGATGGGAATTGAACCCTGGTCTCTCTCATGGAAGGCAAGAATTCTATCACCTACAGAATTCTAGCACTGCTATAAGTTTCCTGAACCTCTCTCAGCACCAGCCTCTTTCAAATGGGGGTAGCAGGAGCTTCTCTTTCGTGGTGTTGCTGGGAGGATCCCATGAGATGATGTCTCTAAAAACCTTATGCTGGTGCCTGGCATTTAATAATGGTTGAGTATGAGCTCTGGTAGCATAGTGCCTAATGCACTTGACTGCTAACCAGAAGGTTGGGCAATATACTTCCGTAGTGATACCGCCTCGGAAACTCAAGGAGGGGTCGCTATGAGTCGGGTCCGACTTGATGGCACATAACAACAACAACAACGATGTATCTAAGGAGCTCTGGTGGCATAGTGGATAAGGCATCTGGCTGCTAACCAGAAGGTCAGCGGTTCAAACCTGCCAGCTGCTCTGCAGAAGGAAGATGGGGCACTCTACTTCTGTAAAGATTTACAGCCTCAGAAATCCAATGGGGGGTCACTATGAGTTGGAATCAACTCAATTGGCAGTGAGGTTTTTTTTTTTTTTTTTAATGATGTATCTATTGGTATTAAGCCCAGCATGGCCTTAGGCAAGTGAATTTTATCAACGTGCTTGCACTTTACATTTCACAAGAAAGGGCCAGGATCAGCAATCTTGTCATGGGTCCCTCACCCAGAAGCATGAACAAGACGAGGACCCATGGATCCTTGGTCGCCTCTTCCTGCTCAAAACACCAGACCATGTTGGCTGTCAGCTTGACATCCACACAGTCCACGCACTCTGGGGTTGGTGAATGATATTTCAGGATGTGTGCTTTGGTTTCCTTTTCTTTTTTAAAACTAATGTTCTTTGCAGTCCTGGCAATAAAACGCTCGGGTTAGGGACAGGCGTGGAGTGGTCAGGAAGCTGGAAATTATGTGTAGCAGCCCTTACACTGTGGATTGCCCCCTAAATGCTTTTTAAAGGTGGACTTGGTCAGAGAAAACAAAGTCTGCCCACGCGCATCTCAGTCATCTGAATTCTCTCTTCCTTGGATTTCATGGGACCGATTCATTGGCCTCTTTTCGCTCCAGGGCTCGTACTTACTGGGAGAGTTTCCATTTTCAAGGCTAAACATTCTCCCACATGGATTTCATTAAGAAAGTCACCACTGGACATGAATCTTAGAAGCTGTTGCATTAGTTAAGAGGTTATGGTATAATTCATGTCTAAAAGAGGAGTAACTGGGATAAGAGATGCACAGAAGGGTCTGGAAGTGAGTGGATGTGGTCTTTGGCACAGGGAGACAGGGCAGCCGGGTTGCAGGCCCAGATCACCCTCAGTGCCACACCTCGGCCCTCTGTGGGCTACAGCATCTTGCCTGAGTCACTCCTTATCTAAGGGCCCAAGGTCCTTAATATACAACTCATCTCTGCCCCAGGATAGACTCCATAGAGCAATGTCTTAGTAGACTTGAAAGATGGCTTTCAAACATTGAGCATGGACCCCAAGCAGCAGCAATATGGAATGGTGTGCGATAACATGGGCCCTCCAAAAGGTCTATAGCTGAAGCAGCTCACTGAACAGCAGGGTGACTTTGGACTAGGGATTTGAACTGAATCTCAGTTTTGTCATCTATGAAATGGGCATGATAATTTCTATTTCACTGACTTGTTAAACAAATCAAACAAATGAAAGCTGATTGTTGTTGTTGTTAGGTGCCACTGAGTTGACTCCAACTCATAGTGACCCTGTGTACAACAGAACGCAACACTGCCAGGTCCTGCACTGTCCCCACAATCCTTGCTGTACCTGAGCCCATCGTTGCAGCCACTGTGGCAATCTCTCTCATTGAGAGTGTTCTCTTTTTTCACTGATTAGTCTACACTAATTACTATGTGTCTGGCACATAGGTCTCCATAAAAGGAGGCTATTAATATTTCTCCTTTTACCCCTAATTCCTTATGGTTACTTGGCAAAACCTCTCCAGATTTCAGAAATGGTAATTGGCAAGAACAAATCCTTGGAGCCTACTCTCTGACCAGTGGGCACAAAGTGGGGGCAAGGATCTTAATCCTAGCCAGTACACAGGAGGAGACCCAGTGCCCTGCCCCTGGCCCCCATTATAGGTCCATTGGTCTGGAAGTCAGCTAGTTCCAGTGCTGAAGGGGCCTACATTCGGTGGTCTGCTAGCTGTGGGCCCAGGAGGGACCCCAAGGAGCTATAGGCTCCACATGTTCCAGCAGCAGGTCTCCAAAGAGGAGGGGGCTGACGGTGAGCTTCTCCCTCAGTTCTGAACCAGAGAGGCTCTCATCTAGACATACCTGGAGGAGAAGCAGCCACCAACCTAGCTAGTTTTCAGATTGAGAAAGAACACAGGAGAGAGATGCAAAGAAAAGCAGAAATGAAAGCAACATACCGGGAGTCCAGGTCTTCCAGTGGGACCCTGAAATCAAGTGGGAAAGAGAACAGTTGACACAGGTCAAGGAACTGTAATACCCAAGGGTCTAATACTGCCTCATCCACCTATGTGACCTTGGCCAGGTCACTTGTGCTCTATAAGCCTGTTATTTTATGAGCAAAATGAAGGGAGGGCCTCAGTCACTAAGCTTCCCTTCTAATTCCAGCATCCATTCATTCATTCTCAGTGGGATCTCTTCCATGCCAGGTCCAGGAGTAGGTGTAGGGAATAGAAAGATGAGATTGTCCCGTCCCTTGTCACTGTCCTTTATGACTCAAGTATCATTAGGGCTATGGGTCTTACCACTGTGTCCACTCTACGTGAGCCTTTCTGCCTTACTTGGTCCACTGTTCTCTCCATCACTCAGGAGTGATGGCCTTGTCCTGGGAAAGGGTGTGAGAAGGTCAGGGCTTGAACTTTCCTGTCCTCCCACACAGGAACAGCCAGATGCCAGGACAGAGCCTATCACTCACTGCTCTGATGAAGATGGTCTGTGTGGAATGTTCCTGCTAGACCTGCCACACTTGAGATTATGGGACAGGACAATGGAGTGGGCTGAGGGCATCTCTAGGAGCCCTCTCCCCCTATTTTGGGATTATGAGGGAGGCACTGGGTCTTCCTTCCTTTGGTGCCTCTAACCAGGTGAGACCACCATCTCTACAATGATCTCACAATACCTGGAAGCCCTCTGTGGTCAAGAAAACTATTTCCACTGGCCATGGTTATATCTTTCTCAAATCCATCATTCATAATCCTAGTACTCCTGCCTAATCTTAGTGCTCCTGCCTAATACAAGTCTGGGCATAGAATACAAATTAAGCTACTTTTCACTTGATTACAAGCTAGATATGGAGTCCATCAGAAAGACTCCATATAATGGATCTGAAATCCTACTGAAAAAAGGAAAGCATTCACCAAAATGTGTTCTTAATACTAATAATTATCATCATAGTAATATACATAGATGGTGACTCAGCAACCAATGGAATCCTGAGAAAGTCATGTGTCTTCTTAGTTCTGGCTCCAGCTTCCACATGGATCTGATACAAGATGGTAACTGAGAAATTGCCCTAATAGCTGCTTCATGGGGCATCATGGAGCCTCTTGCAAAGGGGGAGGACATATCTGGAGAAAGCCTCATGAGCTCATCCTAACCCTGGCATAGCAGAGGCATGGGGTCCAGGAGTGATGGAGGTGTCTTGGTGACTGAGACAGTGTCATTTTGAGGTTACAAGCACAGCTCTGGAGTCTGCCGGCCTGTGCGTGAAGTCCAGCTCTTCAGTGACCTTAGTCAAGTTGCGTGGCCTCCTTGTGCCTCAGTTTCCTCATCTTGAAAAAGGAAGAACAATCACACCTCTCTCTTAAAATTGTTGTTAGGTGTTGAGTCAGTTTTGACTCATAGTGACTCAGAGTACAACAGAACACTGCCTCACAATTGTTGCTATGCTTGAGTCCACTGCTGTAGCCACTGTCAATCCATCTCATTGAGGGTCTTCCCGTTTTCTGCTGACCCTGTACTTTGCCAAGCATGATATCCTTCTCCAGGGCTGGTGCCTCCTAATAATATGTCCCAAGTATGAGAGGCCATTCTTATCTCTAAGGAACATCCCAGCTGTACTTCTTCTATGACAGATTTGTTTGTTCTTCTGGCAATCATCCATGGTATATCGCCAACACCATAATTCAAATGCATCAGTTCTCCTGGGGACTTCCTTATTCATTGTCTACCTTTCACATGCATATGAGGCTATTGAAGATATCATGGTTTGGGTCAGATGCAGCTTAGTCTTCAAATTGACATTTTTTGCTCTTTTAACACTTTAAAAAGGTCTTTTGCAACAGATTTGCCCAATTCAATACATCGTTTGATCTCTTGACTGCTGTTGCCACACATGTTGACTGTGGATACAAGTAAAATGAAATCCTCGACTACCTCAGTCTTTTCTCCATTTATTATGATGTGCTTCTTGTTCCAGTTGTGAGGATTTTTGTTTTTTTTTTAGGTGGAGTTGCAAACCATACTGAAGGCTGTAATCTTTGATCTTTATCAAGTAGATGCTTCAAGTCTTCTTCACTTTGAGCAAGCAAGGTTGTGTAATCTGCATATCACAGGTTGTTAATGAGACTTCTTCCAATTCTGAGGCCATGTTCTTCTTCATATAGTCCAGCTTCTTGGATTATTTGCTCAGCAAATAGACCGAATAAATATGGTGAAAGGATCCAACCCTGATGTACACCTTTCCTGATTTTGAACCATAACATGAACTAGTAAGTAAAGCCCCCAGCAGATATGGCAAGCATTCAATAGCAAACCCACTCATTCTCTGCTGTCAAGTTGATTCCGACTCAGTGACACTATAGGACACAGCAGAGCTGCCCCACAGAGTTTCCAAAGCTGTAAATCTTTACGGGAGCAGACTGCCACATCTTTCCTCCACAGAGTAGCTGGCGGGTTCAAACCACCAGCCTTTTGGTTAGCTGTAGAGTGCTTTAACTGCTGTGTCACAGGGCTCCTCAATAGACAACAGCTACTGCAATTATCACTAGAAGAGGACTGATGGGAGGTGCACAGAGGTGGCCTCAGTTTCTCCCTGCAGAGACCCTCCTATCAAGTATTTTCTCTCCTTCCAGACACTGCTTATCTCATAAACTGAAGGCCCAATCAGGACTGGACCTCCAGGACTGATGAGGCAAACTCAGGGAGTACTAGGAATACATCATCTCTCCTGTCCACCTCTATGAAGCTCTAGTGGAGCAGTGTTAAGCATTCAGCTGCTAACCGAAAGGTTAACAGTTTGATCTCACCAGCTGCTCCGTGGGAGAAAGATATGGCAATCTGCTTCTGTAAAGGTTACAGGTTTGGAAACCCTTTGGGGTGGGGTGGTTCTACTCATCGGCAACAGGCTTGGTTTGAGACCTCCCCTGCTCTCCATCAGTCCTTCCACCAGTTTCCTCATTATTTGATTATTTACCTCATCAAGACTGTAAATCACCTTAAAATCTTTCTTGGAATGAGGTAGGGTTAGAAACAATGAAAGTACAAATTAGTTAATTAATGAAAAGTTACAGAATAATAATTTCTTCCTTAAAATGAAAGGTTTGGAAGAAACTCTGTGGATTGTCTAGTGAAGCTCTTGCTTCTTGGATTTAAAGGAGTTCATACATTCCACTTTATATGAGCATATAGATTTATATATTAGGTTATCATATACATATATTTAAATTATATATATATATATATATATTTGTTGTTGTTGTAATGTGCCGTTGAGTCGGACCTGACTCATAGCGACCCCTCCTTAGGTTTCC